GGGCCGGGTCCTCACTATGCAGAGCCCAGGAGGAATGGTACACCATCCCTGGGGCTTGTGGTGGGGAGAGCCCAGCAACTGACAGCTACCTCAAGAAGACAGGCCAACAGCTGGGGGGACCTCCCCAGGACCACCCAACAGCACCATCGGTACAATTCACTCAGCTGCCGTGGGCCACAGAGGCTGCTTCCTGTAGCTACACAGAGAACACAGAGCTGTGCTGTTAAAGACAGAACTATGTGAAGCACACAAACCATGGCCAAGCAGCCCCATACTGGTGCCAGGAAGCCTGCTCCAGGCTGGGCCCGAGAGGGTAAACGTCCAGCCAGGGCTGTGGCGTGTGTGCCTGTGGCGGCTCGCCCTGGCGCAGCAGAAGCAGTCGCGCTCTCGAAAGGTAAGGGGTTCTAATGTTCACTGACAATCCTTCAAAGCAGCTTCTAGAGGTAGCAAGCCAGTGTGTCTCTGGCCTTGTGTGGTTGTGCGGCTAAGGGGTACCAAGGCCGCCAAGCCATCCCTGTCTGTGCCTCCTCCCTGTCCACTTCAGACTGGAGTGCCCCGAGACAAGCCCTTTGACTTCAGGGCAGCAGACCCCTATGGTCTCTTGTGTACTGCGCTTCAGTGCAGAGCTCCTGTTGTCCCTGGAGGCGTCAGTGGTGCAGCGACACTGTGTAACACACAACCCGACTGGGTGACCCAAGCTCCGAGTAGCTCTTCCTCCTGTCATGGACCTTGGGCTGTGGGGACGACTGTGCCGGGGGCTTGGTCAGACTGACAGGGTGGTGAGTGGGGCAGGCTGGCAGAGGGCAGGAAGCAGTCCTGCAGGAGCAGCAGCCAGGCCAGGGAGCAGTGGGCCGTGCCCTGGCATGTGCAGTCAGAAGCCCCCACCCAACTTGCCCCTTGTGGGGTGCAGAGCCCTTGGCGACCAGCTGCCATCACTGGTTTGTGCACTTCGCCTCTCAGCGCAGGCGCCTGGAGGTGCAGGCCTTGCCCTCCCTCAACAGTCCCAGACGTTGGCTTCAGTCCACCGTCATGGCTCAAGGCATTCTGGGAAAGGAGTGCACTGGTTCAGGGCAGCTCCGAGACAGCACAGCTCCCAGCCTGCAGTGAGTGGCAGGCCCCCTGGGGCTCCTGTCCCTAAGGGCAGTGCTCTAGTGACTTAGCAGGGTGCAGACCTCAGCTCCTGAGGGGCCCATCGACTCCCCAGGGACAGGGGTCAGCCCCCAAGGGGCTAGCCAGTCCCCTAGGCACGAGGGTCATTTCCTGAGCTCCAGGCCTGTGGTCAGTCCTGCAGAGCCCCAGGCTCACGGGAGCTAGTGAAAAAGAGTGCGAGGCTGAGAGCAGAGGTGGAGGCAATGAACGCAGTCTTTATTTACACCACAAGAGTGACAGTGTGCAGTGCGGGACAGACACTGGACTCTGGGGGGTGGAAAGAAGCTGACCTCGGAGAACACCGCTGTCAGCGAGGCTTCACCCACACAAAACAAACAAGAGTGAAAAAACTGAAACAAGACCTCTACCTCCACTGAGCAAAAGAAAGAACCATGGGGAAGGTCCAGACAGCAGAGACAGTTGAGATCGCGGGCGCCCCGGAGGGCGCAGGGGCAGCGGCTCCCCCCTGGCGTGAGTCCCCGTGCGTGAGGGTCACCCTGCAGAGGTCACACGCGCGTGTCATCTCAAAACCGGAAAAGGGCGCCTCCGACCGTGGAGCACACGCACCAGGAAACAAAAGAAACCCTCGCTCTGTGCTTCCCGCAGGCGCGCGGGCGGCTTCGCGGCTTCACCGCACCAGCGGCAGGGAGCCAGGCTGTCCAGGACCACGCAGCCCCGGGCCACCAGCAGGGGCGCTGGAGAGCCCCCTTCTCCACGGGAAGGGGTCTCGGGGCCCAGAGGGCGAGCGGAGGGCGGCGGCAGCATGCGGCGGTCCTGGGCAGGAAAAAAGGAAACAAACGGAACAAAACCAAAGCCCTCCAAATGAACTTGAGAGACAGCGGTTCGCGAGGAGCGCCAGGTCTCCCTGAAACACCGTTTCCACGTAAATACAACAAACTCTTATTGGTATGTCACAAGTGCTAGGTAAACTTTTTTCCTTAATATGACAAATGTGTAAGTAGTCTTTTTATTTTTTCTTACAATAAAAAGTACAATTTCTTAAGAATAAGTTCAGTAAGACTCAAACTCCCCACCCCGCCTCTCCTTCAAGGTTGTTTTGTTTTACAGAAAAAAATCCATCTTTCTTGTATCTGCAAATATCACGAGGGGAAGGAAAGGCGATTTCTTCCTCTCCAAAGCTGCCAAGTTTGGCGTGCAAAATCTGTATACAATATAAAGACATGCCAGGCGTTCGGGCCATGCAACCTCCGGGTGTAGGAAACTTAAAAAAATATATCCATATGTTTATATCTCTCTATTTATATATGTATCAATGCCCAGGAAACACGAGGGCCCAAAGTCTACAAAACAAGGAAGGAGCACGAGCCGGGCCAGGGAGGAGGAACGCTCCGACGGGGAGGGACACGAGGTCCACGGCTAGTGCTGCGACAGGCAGACTCTCGGCCCTTCCTCTTGGAAACGCTTTGTGGGGAAAGCAAAACTGATCGACCAAGCGGCCTGGAACCCGAGCCGCAGGGCCCGCCTGCTGGTGGGGGCGGGCACCATGTGCGCCGCGGAAGCCGCAGGGAAGCCGCGGAGGTCACTGGCCGGGCCTCCCTTCAGTAAAGGGCTTAAAGTGCTTGCCCACTCGCAGCAGTGCCCCTCAGGCCTCTGCAGAGGGAGGAAGAGGCAAAGGCCCAGCCGGCGGCGGGAGACTCGTGCAGCGCGCTCCCTGCTGTGTGCTGCCTGCGGGGATTGCGGCCATTCCTGCCACCTGCCCAGATGCCGGCTGTGTCTTTGAAGGAAAGAAAAGGCTACACGGTAGTGGCTGCAGCACGCTGTGGAGTGGGAGTGTTGGCAAGGGGTGCCCGTGGCCGTCAGGCCCTGCTGGGAGAGACTGGGGCTCTGTGAGCGGTGTCAACCTGGCCACGGCAGCCCACATTTCCCATCAGAAAGCACAGTGAAATGATGTGGCCTCCTGGGCACTGCGGGCGCAGGCCCCGGGGGTGGCGCCGGGAGAAGCCAGTGCTGTCCCTGTCACCACGCAGTGCACGTCTCCTGCCAAGCGGGCTTCGGCGCCAGACGCAGCCAGCAGGGAGAGGAGGGTCGAGGTGCCCCAAGCCTGCCAGGCCCTGATCGCCAGCTGTCTCGGCACTGCCTGAGGGCAGCAGTGACCGGGAGACCAAGGAGGCGCACCCATCTGGACCCGAGTCTGGCGTCTACCCTGTAAACTTTGCCACCACTGGAAAACCTGGCTTGGGGTCCCTCCTGACCACCTGCACCTCCCCCCTCAAGTCTCAACTGTGACACTTTGGAATGAAATTGGTGGCTTCAAGTGCTAGAAAATAAGTTACCAATAAAAGTGGCTGTCAGTCACTGTAAAGAGAAAAAGAGCAAAGCCAAGCCGGTGCCCCTCGTGGGAACGCACGGAGGCAGCGAGGCCGTGGCCGCCTGGTGCTCAGCAGGCCCCCACCGTGGCTGCAGCAGCGGTCCCGGCACCGGGCGGGCTGTGCACTGCTCACATGCAGGAAAGGTCTTTGGGAAACTGGAGCTGGGGCTCCGCCCACCACAGCAGCCGTCAGGAGGACGTGCTCACCCTGATGCACATGCGGCGGGAGGAGCAGCCCTGGCTCCTCTGCACAGCTCCCTCCACGGAGCCGGGAGGACTGGCCCAGCTCCCAACCTGGCTGGACGCTCGCGTTCAGAAAATCCATTCTGAGGGCAGCAGCCCTGAGCATGGCAGGGGCCTGCACACGGCACAGAATCAACACAAACAAATCATAAAAAACCATCGAAGTTAAAAAAATGTTCAATAAAGCATTTAGAAAAGAAAAAGGTTCAGACGCTCTTACCATTCAGAAGACTGCTAAATGGTGAGAAAAAAATGTAAAATTCACAAAACAATGCTTATTATCTTCTTGTGAAAAATTCATACAAAAATCAACAGCAAATGTATAATAACCTTTGCTAGAAAAACTCATTAGGTACCTATGTGCACAGAGGCTTGGGCAGGGTGGGGCCTCTGCTAGGAAATAATTAAGATGAAAGTACAAATGGACAGGGAAGCTGCCCAGGCGGGCGGGCCGCCGCCAAAACGCCGCCGCTGCCACGCGGAGCTGCAGGCCACGCTGGGCCGCCCCCTAAGCACCAGGAGCTCACGCCACGCCCTCCGCTGGCCAGGACCTTCACAATCTGCATTTATTATAGAGATATATTTTCTATAAATGCATATAAATATTTACCAAGATCTCGTAAGAATCAAGTTTCTTAGCTTGGAATACATTGGAATATATATTATACATATATATATTTATTTATACCTAAAGGTATGCAATACTGCATGCTACCTGCTCTTGCTGAAAGCCTTCCGCCTACAGCACAGGTGTGGCTCCGCCATGCTGCGCAACCCCGTGGAGGTGCTCAGTGCCACGTGACGGGGGAGAAAAGAACACTTCGGACTCATTCCGAAGTTGCTGGACCCCAAGCCCTGACAGTGCCCACTGCCTGTCTGGTGCACCCACTTTCCCTCAACAGCAGTACAGCCATACCAGGCCCGTGGACAGCAGCGCTACAGACAGAGGCGGTGCTGCCCACGCAGCGCCAGGCCAGCACCACGGGCTCCCCGACCACAGCGAACGGTCCCCCAATTCCTGCTGTTGATTTTTTCTTAAGGCATTGTTCCTCAGACTTCAGAAAACCCAGCCCAAAAAATCCATCAGAGCAGTAAAAACAAGGCACAACTCGTATCTTCCGATGGCTTTGAGCAGCTCAAGCGACTCCTAGGCTTGCAGCCCGCTTCGTCCAGTTTCTCCCTCAGAGGCTTCTCTGACTCCATCCCCGACGGCTGCAGAGCCCGCGGGATGCCTCCCAGGCTCCCTGTAGGCCGGAGCCCTAGAAAACTTTCTATGTCTTTTTTTGTTTTTTGTTGTTTTTTTTTTAAAAAAAAGCTACAAGATGAGCTGAGTGGTTTACACAGGGACTGTAGAACTGTGGGTAAGAATCAAACTTTAAGCACCAGTTTCAATCAAGTTTGTTTTGTATTATTAGATCTTTGATTTTCACTTTCCTTTTCTCATGTCAGCTAAATCTGGCAACTGTCCCCAGCTGCCGCAGCTCCTTCCTCTGCGGCTGTGCGGGGGCTGCCCGAGTGTGCTTGGCTTCCGCATGTCTGTGTGTCCACGCGGCACCATCCCATGTCCGTGAGAAGCCACCACGCCAGTGTGCACATGCCTCTTGAGACCTGTGGTCCAAGTGGTGGAAAGGCCTCCCACTGCCACTGCATGCCTGGCGTCCCTGTGCTCAAGAGAGCCCATGTGGGATGCACGAGTGACACGGGAAAGTCTCCTGGCTGAGCTTCCAGACAGACAAACAAAGGAGGACAGCAGCTCTGAGAGGGTGCTACAGGGGTGGCTCCTCCTCCATGGGCTCCTCCTCTGGCCTGTGTGGGAGAAAAGGGTGCGACGGGGCACATGGTGGGTGGCGGTGTCCACCCCTGTACTGTGCACTGCCCCTTCCCACTGGCCTGGGACACCCCATGGCCATTTCCAGACCTGTGCACTGGACAGGGTCATGTGCCCACATCTGCCCAGCAGCCTGCAGGATGGGGGCGTGGGAGACACTCACCTCTTCTCAGTGGGCTTCACTCCCACGGACAGTGAGGCCATGGCAGTAACCGTCTCGGCTTCTTCATTCTCGCATTTCTGTGCCTCAATCAGTGAGTGCCCCACCGTGGAGGCCAAGCGCTGCAGGCAGCGCCAGTACTTACCTGTAAGGAGGACAGGGCCTGGTGAGCACAGTGACTACTGACAGGTCCCTCTGGCAAGGGAGCTGCTGGATCATAACCCATAGCACTGGGTGCAGCTGAGGTGTCTCCTGGCCTTGGGACTGCCAGGCCTGGCAGGGGACCTTCTGGAGGGGCCTGGCCTCCTTGCCCATAGGATCTGCCTCCCCACGCAGACCAGGAATGTGCACCACAGGCCTGGCGAGTGCTGCTCCTTAGGCCTCTATAAGCCGGCGGGCACAGGCTTGCTGGTGAGCAGCACTGTCACCTGCCTGAGCCCTGGCAGGTGCTGGTGAGTCCGCTACAGGCCTGAGACCAGGGGTGTGCTGGAGGCTGGGTGCTGCCCAGAGCCAGCTTCACGGTACAGAAGCTGGGAGCATATCCTGGATGTGCCTCTGAGGGCAGCCTCACCCTGCTGGGCATGTCTGAGGCCCATACACTGGGCTGTGTGAGGATGGGGGACAGTGGGTGCCCTGGAGACAGTGTGTTAGCTCAAGTCACCTGGCTGCTGTGTACCCTGCCTTGCAGCCTGGGGACTGCTCTTAACAGCAGTGTTAGAAGATGAATTTTCCTTGTAGGACCAAGTTCTTGGCAGAAGCCAGACCCCACGGCTCGGGTTCAGAGCTCAAGGCCCTGCTTGCCAGCTGGAGCCTGTGAGCGACTTCCCAGGAGCCCTAGTCCTGTGCTCTGTGGTCTCTGTCAGCTCAGCTCAGACACCTGTAGGCAGTGGGGCCTGAGATGTTCTATGGACAGTTAGTGGCAACTTACTGTGGATCTCCATGACCTTCTCCATGGAGCGGACAGCATTGGCGTTGGGTCTCTGTTGTAGGACTTTTTCTGGCAGAGGCTCAAGCTGGAAAACACACAAGAGCACCCTGAGCACAGTGACTACTGACAGGTCCCTCTGGCAAGGGAGCTGCTGGATCATAACCCATAGCACTGGGTGCAGCTGAGGTGTCTCCTGGCCTTGGGACTGCCAGGCCTGGCAGGGGACCTTCTGGAGGGGCCTGGCCTCCTTGCCCATTGGATCTGCCTCCCCACGCAGACCAGGAATGTGCACCACAGGCCTGGCGAGTGCTGCTCCTTAGGCCTCTATAAGCCGGCGGGCACAGGCTTGCTGGTGAGCAGCACTGTCACCTGCCTGAGCCCTGGCAGGTGCTGGTGAGTCGTGCATGTCCCAACGGAAGGTTAGGGGCGGGCAGCCAAGGCGTAGGAAGAGGAAGGGGCTTTACGAAGCTGGTGGTGGCTCCGGGGTCTATACACATGCTTTTAACAAAAGTTGGCTTCTATGCCACAGGCATATTTTTCCTAGGATGCAGTGAAGTGCAATCATGGGTTCCCTGGAGGAAGAGGATGAAAGGGCTTGGCATGGGCTGTGGCCACACTGTCATGATGGGACAGGCGATGCTGGCCAGTGGGTCTCATGGGTCTGCTGGTCCTCACCCCAAGGGCATGGCTGTGACTTCATGTGCCGGAGCACCTGACCAAGGGACTGGGCCCAGCCAGTGTGCACATGGGCAGCACCGCCTTGCCCCAGGAAGCATGTACCCGAGAAAGTTACAGTGCAATAGGGCGGTGGGTCCAGGGCAGGTGAACTCACCAGGGAGACTTACACAGTTCTTGGGCAAGAGGGCAAAACAAATGGGTATGTAGCCCTGGTGGAGCATCAGGGTGGGCGCAAGGACTTTAATCCTGGGGACCTGCAGGTTGCATGGGCCCAAGCTCAACAGGTGAGCAAGGAGATAGTGCAGCCCAGGGCTGGAAGCCAGGGCAACAGGGAAGAGTTCAGGGAGATGGAAGGGAATAATCAAAGAAACAGATGAAGGAGAAGAGACACACGCTCCTTGCAGGAGATGCAGCCCCTCCTAGGAGGGCAGCTGCGACAGCACTCACTGAATGTGAGGAGCTGGCTAGAGCCTGTACTGCAGGGCACTGCCATGGGAAAAATTCAAACATAACCTGAGGGACAGGGTGCCACACCTGGCCAGGGCTCTGTGTCATCACCAGGGTCACGAGAAACCAGGGAAGACCAAGAACCAGCCATCAACAGAGGAGACAGAGGATGCTGTGTGGGGCCCTGTGGTGAAAGGTGGCAGAGAGCACATACCCTTCTCTCAGCAGAAAGCAAGGAGACAGTGCCTGGAGGCATCAGGGTGCCAGGAGGAAAGCTTCTTAACTCAGAATGGCCAGTGACAGAACAATGGCACTGTCACTGAGAGCAGCCTCAACCCTAGCCAGGACGCTAGCCACAGGAGTGCAGAAGATGTGGAAGGACGAAAGCGGGCCCAGAGACCGCTAAGCCAAGCTGAGTAGGTGCAGCAGGAAAACTGCTATCCAATCAGGGACGCTGAGCAGAAGCACAGAGGAGAGTGCTATGGGGCACGGATGGCCACTGCCTGGGAGGGGAGCTGGGCAGGGAGCCAGCCACGTCTGAATTTCTGATGAACACGTTCAAGCCTGTGTGCACTCATCTAGGTGGCCTGGATGGGCAGACACAGCCTAGGCCTCATGCTCTGGTGGTTGGGGATTCCACCTGATGTGCTCAGGGCTGGGCTGGTGGCTTCAGGGGTCTCCAGAAAGGCAAGGACACAGGCCTCATATCTGCTGAGTCAGCATCCGGAGCAAATGGGGTGCAGGGAGCTTCACCCACACCAAGGGAGGCAAGAAAGGAAAAAACTGCTGAAAGCAGGGCGGACTGAGCAATGGAAGGCAGCAAATGAGTTCGAGAGCCAGGAAGGCGAACCAAGTGTAAGTGAACGAACTCTCTACTCAGCGCAGCCTGCTGGGGGACACGAGAAGGATAACAGTGTCCAGCTTCACACTGCTTATAAGGGCACCTCTCAATGCAGGCAGAAGACTGGCGCCATGTCAGGGCTGGGAACAGGTGGGCCTCAAGGCAGCTACGTGCCCCTTTAGATGCCAGAACAGACTGAAGGGGACATTACCACCAGCTCTACGGATGGGCTCCCTGCAGGGGCGGGCCTTCAGCTCACCACCAGGGTAAGTGGCTTTGCAAGTGCATTTGGGAAGATGGCTTTAGAATGAAGAGGGGATACAGGGGCTGTGCCATGGTGTGGGGCAGCCCCACCATCTGTCAGAGCAGCAGGCCAGTGTGTCCCGGCTGGCAAAGGCATACAAGCAGGACAGAGCAGACCAGACAGCTGGGCCAGTGGGCCCAGACACACCTGGGGTCTGCACAGTGGCCACATGAGCCAACCAGTGGCCTCTCTTTACACCAGGCCTATCCCCTGATGTGGAAACAAGCAAGTGAATCACAGGCTCTTGGGTTTGGAAATGAAAACAAAGCAGCCACAGCTCAAGGAACAAGTTCTAGCAGAAGCAGAAATCAGGAATGCTTGGAACCAAAAAGCCCCCATGCTCCAGGGCCCGTCTAACCTGCTGTGAGCAGCCCCTCAGGGGGACTTTTCATAGCTGGTCATCAGTGACAGCTACAGACAACTGGACCCTGGAGTTTGCCACGAGCGGCTGCTGGGAGCTGGGCTGACCGCAGAGACACATGTGGTGCAGGCGGATACCCAGGTGGTACAGCAGAGACTGCTGGGGCTGCATGCAGTGGCGCAGCTGTCTGCCCAGCATGGAAGCCCTGCAGGCCGCCGTGCCTGCAGCTGGCTGCCGGGATGTGTGCAGAATCAGCCAACACACCGTCTGTCAACTCTCATCAAAGGCTGTGGGGCCAGAGGGACAGGTTCGTCCAACTCTGGTTCACAAAAAAGATTTTTAAAGAGCTCTTGATAAAACTAGTGCTTCCTGCTTTTTGATGTGTCTTAGTAAAGAACAGTTTCCTACTAGCAGAGCAAATGCACGAGGAAGCGAGAATAGGCCCAGGTGAGAGCCTGCTCACTGCTGTTGCTTTAAAGTACCCCGAGAAAGGGCTGCAAAGCTGCACAGGGCTGCTTGAGCGCACCCACTGCCTTTGAACTGCAGCGCATGGAGAAGAAGGCGACATGTGGAGAGGAAGCAGGTAAACGCTCCCAACATTTTAAAAGGCAGACTGGGGCTCCAGCCTGGGCGTCACTGGCCAGCTCACAGCATGAACATTTGCTCTGTGATCTACTGTGATTTACAGCAGGACGCAGGCTGTCCACAAGGGCAAGGCCAGCAGAGGACTGAGCTGGCTGGCACCCTGGCCCACTTAACCCACAAAGTGCTGCTTGCCAGCCAGGGCCTGGCTGAAGATGCTCAGAGGCCTGTGGGGGACGTGGATTGTCCAGCAGTGACTGTCACCCTTGGTCTGTGCACCCAGACCCTGTCTTCAAGCCCCAGCTGGCTGTGTACACCATGGCTCCAGGGACATGCAGGGGTGCCTGACTGGACCCCAGTTGGGCTGTCACTGGACAGGCCCTTCTGGGAATGGCCCTGCATGCAACCTAGGGTGTGGAATGACCTCACACTCTCCAGGTCCCTTGTACAGTGAGCACACATGGAGCTACAGTGAGCACACCCTCCCCAACCAGAGGGTCAGCCTGCTGTCCTTGCCGTGCTGCAGCCTGCGTCTCCTCCTGCTGTCCCTGTCTGCAGGGACAGGGATGCAGAGAAGAGGGATGCTGCTGTGAGGAGAGCTTCAGAGAGCCCTGTGTGTAGACTTCTGCACCCGCATCCCCTCCCGACACCCCGCCAGGGTGACCGGCCTCGCTCCTGAGTATGCCAGGGCCTGGGCCTTGAGGAAAGGGTTATCCGAGGGACAGGCTTACTCCCAGCCTCTCTATCCTGCTGGACAGCAAGGCCCGTGCTGCCCACATGCAGCCCTCTTCTCTGCTTGTGTCCAGACTCACTTGGGGCCTCCCTATGTCCTCAGCTCCCCTCCCCCCAGCTGGTCTTCTCTCCTGAGCCCAGGCAAGGCCTTGTCACTGGTTTCCCCCCACCCTGGAGAGTGTTCCCAGCTCTGCGCAGTCCCCAGGTGTGGTTCTCAGTCCTCAGACCAAGGCACCACGGAGCCATGAGCCCAGCCAAGCTCTGGGGCCTGCACACCCTCTTCCTCACTACCCGTAGGGCCATATACATCTCTGCCCTCTCGATGATGCCACAGCCCCTTCTGTGATTCCAGTCTCCTTCCCTGCAAAGATATGCATGGAAAGAAGTGTGCCACCTGGCCCTGGGAACAAAAACTTTGTGGGGCTCAGAGGCTGCTGTGCAGGGCAGACTTAGTTCTGTGGCAGCAGGGAGCACAGTGGAGCCCACACCTGGGCACAGAAAAGATGCTGGGCAGAGGCCCTGGCCCATCCTTGAGCCACACAAACCCAGTGAGAATTTCCTAGAGGTCAACTGCCTATGCAGGACAGTAGTAGAACAAGACAAAGCATTTGCCATATACCGGGTGTTGCAACCCACAGGTAATAAACCAAAGGGAGCATATACAGCGAGAACCTTCACTCTTTTCTTCAGAGCATGCTTCTTGTTGGTCCTCTTTGCTCCTTCTGGCCTTTACCAGATGCCTGTCACTTAAACAGTGAGACCAAGTGGGGTAGGAAAGAACATGCAATGCAGAGCTAAAAGCAACTGAGGAGACCCCATGGGTCAGGTCCTGATGGCCAGGCCCGCGTGCGTGTGCTGGTGAGTAACTTTCATGGGGGCTCAGGGGCTATGTACCTCGTTTCCCAGTAGAGCAGAAACGCAGGCCTCAGAGGCATCACAGATGGCTGTTAGGTCATGGCCTCCCTCGAGAGCCAGCACGATCCGGCCACCAGCCAGGCCCATCAGCTGCTTTGTCAGGTACCCGAAACCTGCAAGAGGAAAGAGCGTGTGCGTGGGGGTTGGGGGCAGGCAGCAATATGGCGCCCATGAACCAGGGCTGGGGTACCCAGCCAAGACCTCTTAAGTCACAGTTTGGGCTGCTGTCTGTAAGGGCATGAGCTAAGGCTTTGTCCTTTTTGGAGGCCAAGTCAGCCTCCCACCTAGGGGTCCTACTGTCCTGGGCACCTGAAGTGCTCGGCGCGCACGTGACAGTGCTGGGCTGCCACATGGGGATTCCCATGTCCACATCCAGACATCCACTGCACCCAGGGTCTGCCCCACAGAAGGTACTGGCAGTGATGGTCAGCACCTTTGCCAGGAGGGCCATGCAGCATTACTGGCCCATGCCTGGGCAGCAGATCCAGCCCACTTTGCCAGATTGCATGCCCTGGTAGCTGTGGGTACTGGGCCCAGGCTGAAGCACTCAGTTTACCTATGTGATGGGATGCATACTGGCACCACACTCCTGTGAGGCTGACCAAGCAGGTCAGTGTGGCAGTGGGCACTGTAGGCGGGAGCTGTGCAGCGTCGGGCACAGCAGGAGTGTGCCCTCATGGCTGGGGCAGATGGGTCTGAGCAGCCACACTGGAGTGGCTCTGTCTCCCTGGGGTCCTAGGGTGGGGGGACCATCACTTGACACGCAGAGCACACAGGTCACAAACTGAGCATAGTGGGGGTATGCAGGTAATCATTTAGGCCCACTTACATTTGGCAGAGAGGTTGTACCCTCCAAGAGGTGTGGGGTGGCCCTCCACAGCATCAAAGCCTGATGACACCAGTACCACATCCGGGGCAAACTCATTGGCGATTGGCATGACCACGGTTCTGCAAGGGTAGGAGAAGGAGTCACCAGGCCAGCGGGGGACAGACAGAGCAGAGGACTGGATGGTCACCAAACGCACCTGGGGCCCCTCTGACCAGCCGGCTGGAGTCTGAGGGCTCACAGGGAGCTCGAGGGAATCCCCTACCAGATGGAGCACACAAAGCAGGTCTGTCTGAAGCCCATGCCACAGCCCTACTATGAGCACCTGTGCTACTGTATCTCAGAGGTGACAGGTAACCACAGAGGCCCAGACGTGTTCCCACAGGTGTAGGGGCACCCACCCACAGGCCTTCCTGCAGTGGCAGGGTGCCCAGCCCTGGACACTTTCCAGGGCTTTCCCTCAAGACCAGTGTAGTTGCTGGCACAGGGTGGGGGATCTGGGAAGCGGACCACCTGGCAGGCTGTCTCAGCCCTTAGGGATAGAGCCCACGTGAGTGCCCCACTACCCCGGAGGCCCAGTGATCAGAGGGCAAAGTGAGAACACACTCCAAGGAACTCGGACATAGACAGCACCATGGAGAAGCTTAGTGGTTTGGTTTCTGTCTACTGGGACACGAGACACGCGTTACGTGAGAAGTGGGAAAATCATCTCTTAATGCAGACTGAGGGACTGGTCGTGAACGATCAGATGGTGCCACCATGGAGGGCACGCTGGTGCTGAGTGTCAGCACAACAGTGGCCGCCTGGGTCCTCAGCACCTACACTGCCCGATTCAGAATGATCGGCACTGACTCTTGGTTTCCACCAGGTGGTCAGGCACTGACCCCTCTCCTGGGACAGCAGTGACCCCAACAGGGAGGTGGGCAGATGCCCCCCAAGCAGGCCAAGGAGGAGGCCTGAGCCCTTCATTGCCAGGCAGCCTGGGCACATGTTATAGTTTGTGTCTAGGTGTGCCCCCAAAGCCTCATGCAGCCATGGGCCAGACTGTGCGAGTTCGTGACTAATTCATGGTCCAATGCTGGGGTTATGGGTGTGGGTACTACCCCTGCCCTGGGGTAGATGGCCTGCATATATCATAAAGGAGAGGGAGAGCTTCCTCTGCTGCTGCTGCTGCTGCTGTCGCTGTTCCTCCCTTGCTCTTCGCTGTCTTCCATTCCCATGAACGGCTGCCCTCTACCAGGTGCCACTCTGCCTTGGAGCCAGCCGAGTACGGACTGAAACCTCCACTAACTGTGAGCTAAATAAACCTTTCCTTCCTTCATTTTGGATGTTGGGTATTTTGTCTGAGCAACGAGAGAAAAGTAAGTAAGACTGCAGCCATCACCAGAAGACACTGCACAGTGAGGCAAGCTTAGGAGACGTGGCAAGGAGAGAACGCCGTGCGTGGTTTGCCGTGTGGCAGGTGTGTGACGTCATCACTCTGGTCTGTGCTGAGAAGCCTGTCTGAACACATCACACTCACTGTGGGCATAGGGTGGTTGACTGGGTCCTGAAGCCAACTATGGCCCCTCATGCTCCAGCTGAGCCCAGGCCCTGCATCAAGCTGCAGAAGGAACCCAGACAGACAGAGCGCTGCAGCCCGGGGGCCCTGAGGACCACCACTAGGGTGCAAGAGCACAAGGCAGGGGGCCCAAGCAGGTCAGCAAGCCACTCCTGCCTCAAGCTCTGCGGCAGATTCCTGATTGGAGGCCACACAGTGTCGGACTGGGTTATTCAGGGCTCCTGTGCCCTGTGACAGTCCCAGTGACCAAAGGGAGACACAAGAAGAGAGAAGCAGGGCAAAATGCCTCTAGGCATGTAACACCAGCCTTGACCACAGGGCTCTGTTCCATCCTGATTCCCCAAGCCAGGCTCATGCTGTCATTTTGCACATTACAAACATTTAAACAAAGCATCTGCTCAGCGTGGATAGTCCTAATTCTGCCTAGATGGCTGGACATGGGGCATGCTGGTGTAGTCAGGCGGTAACACTGGGTCACCTGTGGGTAGGACACTTTGGCTGGTGCGGCTTGTCCCCCTGGGTGCAAGCCAGGGCCCTCTGAGGTCTTCCTCTGCTGCCCTCCCTGCCTGTCTGCCCACACCAGTCTTGGAGGTTTGTTTAATGACCTGGACAAGGTCCTTGTCACGTATCTTCCTCTTGGCGCAGTAGCACAGGGTCTGCTATGGTTTGGCTTGGAATTGAAAGCCAACTCATGATGTTAACACAAACCACAGTCGTGCAGATGCTGTGCCAGGCGCTTGGGGGCTGCCGGAGCCACATGCAGGCATGGGCTTAGTCTCTGTCTCAAAGTACTGCTGAGCCACAGTGTCCAAAGCATCCTGGTAGACAGCACCAGGTGACTGTGCTCCCTGAAGCCCACTGCAGTGCACCCTCAGGCCGGTAGGCAGCAAGGTACAGTCCCTGGTGCATTATATCAGGCTGCACTCCCATGCCTGGTGGGGGGTCTGTCTGTCCATGAGGTATCTTGGCATCATAGGCAAAGTGAGGAACGCCACTGCTTCTCATGGGGACATAACTTTCATGCCTGTGGCAGGACTGAAGGCATACCCTGCCACACTGGGGATGTGTCACCCCACTGCCACCTTCACGCATCCTTAACTGGTGCACCTGGAGTGGGAGAGGACTGTTTCACTCTAAGTCTGAGCTGAGCCCTGCAGACAGTGAGGCCTGCACACCTGCCCTGGGCCTTCTCAGCCATTTTTCTAAGCATCCTTCTGCAGGGTCACAAGGCCTGTCCCAGGGTGAGGGCAGGGGGAAGGCCTGGGACTTCCCAGGGGGCGGATGAGGGAATCCCTGGGGTGGAGGCAGGAGAACAGTCAATCAGGCTGATGACCCACAGTGCACAGGAATGCAGTCCTGGGGGCGGAGAAGTGGAGACTCACACTGCTTCAGTGCCTGAGGCCGAGAGGTGCCTTGCAGTGGCTGTGGCCTCTGAAGAAGTCCTGCGTGGCACTTTAGTGACGCACACCTTCTTGTGGTCTCTCTTGGGTCCTGCCCTTGGTCAGTCAGTCAGCTCTACAGCCTGGCAGCTAAGCAGGACAGCAACCAGCCCGGGGGAGCTGGGGCCACTGCTACCTGTAGAACTGTTCACCAGGCGCCACCATGGGGCACTCATGCCCCAGGTTCCCATGGGCACTATCTCAGATCCACTGTTGAGAACCAGCAACTCACACTGGGAAGCACAACCTCCACACACCCCACAGGGCCTCATATGAGGCCCAGAGCCAGTATGGAACCCTGAGGATGGCCAGATGACAGGGCTGTGGCCACCGTGCTGACCCCAGCATGCCTTGGTGGAGCAAATCTAGAGTCATGCCACCCTGGTGTCTCAACTGCCACTCAACCCTCCACACATACACACCCATGCCAAGCCCAGCAGCCAGCTGCCCACCCATCTGAGAGCCTCCAGCATGTGTGCCCACATCCCAGGGCTAGTCCAGCCACGGGCAACACCGTCCTTCCAAATCTTTTGTGATTTGGAGGAAGGGGGTGCCCTGGGCACCAGAGGGTACTTTAACAATGGGGCATTTTATACCTGGAAAATCTGTTTTGTATCATCATGCTTACTGTGAGGGTGAGGGCAGGAGCTGGTGCCTCTGTGACCCATGCCTGCCCTGCACCTGGCCCTGCCCATGAGTTGCATAGTGTCGCAGTACCCACATCCTGGAAGCCTGGTGCACCCTTGAGATGGCTGCCTGAGCCATCCCTCCTGAGAAAGGTGTGGGGCCACAGCCTCGGGCGGTGCTGGTGGAAATGGTGGGCAGGGCGAGGACCCTGATAGCACCCAGCCGGCAAGGAGAGACGGACTGCAGGGCAGAGCTGGGCTTGAGGGAACTCCTCCTGCCTGCTCAGGCCCCTGCACCTGCAACCTCACTGTACAATGGCTTTCCTGGCTGCCCAGGAGGTGCAACCACCCCTGGACCCCGCCCCATGGGGCTGTTTGGCAGGGATGCCAGGGGCCTTGCGTGAGCCTCATGGGGCTGGGCCTCTGGGCACCTCCATGGGGTAGGTGCCTGCTCTGTGTTCTCACACCTCCTCCATCTCCCCAGGCCCTGCTTTCTGCTCCCCTCCCCCATGGCGCTGGCACCCTTCCTTCCAGGACCCTGGGCCTCAGTGAGGATGCAAATGCTAGCAGGGACTCAGGTGGTCCTCGGTTCCCGCTCCTGTGGGTCTTTGCTAGTTCTCATCTCCCCAGTTCCCAAGGCTCTCCCCAGAACACTCTGTCCCAGCCTCCTGAGCTCAGGTTGCCCCGCTCACCAAACACCCACCTCAGGAGACCTGCATCCTGTCTTCTAGAACCTGTTGGAGCAGCTGTGTCCCCACTCGGTGATCTGTGCCCCAACCTGAGTTTGCTCCCCTGAACCCCCCACGTCTCTACCCTGCCCCTGGCTGGGCCCGTCTGCATTGCTCTCAGTGCAGTGCAGCCCCTCCCCCAGCTCATGCAGAACTGGGCAGGCTCTATCCCTCCCTCCTGGATATCTGCCAGCCCACCAGGCCCTGTCCTCCACCCAGGCTCCCTTGAGACAGGTTCTTCTGCCCTGCTCAGCCAGAGCCTGCACCAGAGAGCCCTGCTGTGAGCGTGCAGTCACAGGGGCTTGGTCTTCACATTGTTTCCCCTAATCCCTTGGGCCAGCTCATTGCCCCAAGACCTAGCCAAGGCCCCCAAATGGCAGGCCACTGCATCAGCCCACAGAAGGCAGCTTTGTCCCTTGCTTGTATGCCCAGAGCTGGGCCAAGCAGGCCACCCAAGCTCAGCGGCTGAGTGCTGTGTTTGTGCTTTTGGCTTCTAGTCACTGCAGGGTGCTCTCAGCTTCGCATCTATGCAGAGAATACTTGGAAGTCTTCAAATGAGAAGGCAGTTGGATGGGAGGCTGACTGCATGGGGCGCCTGTCCTTGGGCACTGTGCAGTGAGCCCAGGTGGCCACCGTCTAGCACTGCAGCAGCAACAGCAAACTGGTGACCAGTGGAGGTCCCACGCTACAGGTGAGGCCAGGGCAGCCTGCCAGTCAGCTGAGGGCCACTGTCCACTGTCCAGAGACGATAGCTCCCGCTGACCTCTCAGCTTTGCCAGTAGGTGTGGTTGACAGGGAGCTGCAGAGTTGCTCTGGGGTTGCTAACGAGGAAGGACAGGATAGCCAAGGAAGGGACACCATTACACGCATGTGTCCAGGTGCCAGAGGCTCAGCCTGTCCTCGGCAAACTTCAAAGCCACATCTGGCGCGGGCCCAACTGGTTTGAATTAAGGCCCCCTCTCTCCTCAGTCTCTGAGCCCGAGGAGAAAGTGTTGCTGCCTCTGGTTCTCATTAGAGCCAATTTTCTTATCTTTTCTTCATCTGATGCTTGATCCCCTGAAAATGCAAGCTGGCAGGCAAGGGTCTGCCTAACAAGGTGCTGCCTTTGAGGCTCATGCCATCCCTGGGGCCCCCAGAGCGGGAGGCTGAGCCAAGCTCTGACCTTGCTTCCCCATCGGATGCCCAGGGAACCATAAATTGTAAACTTCAAAGTGTTATTCTACATTAGAAAAAAAAAAAAAAAAAAGCAGTTTTCCTTCTTAAGGAAGCTACTACGACTTTAAAGTGCTTGCCTGGTAAGGTGTGATTGGGTACACTGAGGCCCAGTGCCTCCCAGAGGAAGGCCTGCTTCCAAGCTGGCTCTGCCTTCCCAGGCCTGGGCGGATGCACGCACTGCCAGGCTTCCACTCCATCCCATCTGGGGCTGGAAGATCTCAGGCATGACCCGGAAGGAGAGGACGCCTGGCGCCCACCACCACAGAGGCTGTACTGCTCTCTGCCTGGTTCGGCGGCAGTGTGCCTCAGGCAGGAAGCCCAGCCAAGCAGGCTGGCAGCTTGCCGGGCTGGATGCTTTGCTCCCAGAGCACTGGTTCTGGGTGGGGAGCGTGATGCAGCAGCAATTTCAGAAGTGTGTGTGTGAGTCCTGCTAACTAAGACAGCGCAGTCATAAGGAAAAGACCACCAGCCAGGGCAGAAGAAACAGCAAACCTAAGCCCCAGAGGGAGGGCAGTGGGGCAGCAGTGCAGTGCGCACAGGGGCCTGCTCTGCACCCTAATCTACAAGTGACAGGCTGCAGGGACTCCACCTACTGGCATCTTCTGCCCAGTTGGGGCGGGGCACAGGAACCCATTTCAAGTGGAGCCAGCAAATGCTGAGTGGTGCATGGGACTCAAGCAGGGTCTCTGAGAGCGTGTGGAGTCTAGATTAAACCTTTACAGAGGTGTCCTTATGCAGTCTCACCCACCAGAAAGGCACACAGATGCAGAGACACGAATGCATACACCTTTGTGCACACTCCCAGAGATGGACGCCACAGCATCAGTGACCAGTCACAGATGTGTGTACAATACAGAGACACAGCATGGGGACACCATCCACAGAGACAGAGATGTGTCCACACATGCTTCCCATGCTCATGGGTCAGGACAAAACCTTGGCTTTAGAGGGGGAGGTCAAGAGAAGATCCTCAGAAAGCCTGCTGGGTACAAGTGCCCAGGGCACCAGCAATGCCTGCCCACCGGGACTTTCTTGCTGCACACGTGGGCAGAAGCTGCCTTTCACAAGGGTGACAATGACCCCAGGAAAAGCTCTGTGCCACGAGCCAGCCCTTCTGGCTGAGAACTATTGCATCTACAACCTCTGAGGTCAAAGTGAATGCTCAGTTTCGAATAGTGGCCCTGCAGCCAAGTCCCAGTGGAGGAGGAAGGATGCAAGGAGGGGGGTCACAAAGGGGCGAGCCCACTCCTCCCATGTGTCCACACCAAGGAAAATAACTGACTTCCACTGTGCAGGGTCTCTTCGGGTGCACAGTCTCTGCCTCCACCCCCTCCCTCCCAGGACTCAAGCACACACCTGAATGAAACCACAACCACAGGTTGGACAGTGCCAGGGTCCACCTGGGGACCAAAGGCGTCTGTGCAGACAGCAGGTTTCAGAGCAGGGTCTCACAATCTCCAGACAGAGCTAGGACTGCTGGGTGCTCACCTGAAGGCTGCCAAGTACTCTGTGTCTCCCATGGGGGGGTCGAGGCCACCCGCGAAGGCCATGTTGACGTTGAAGCCCATGCCTGGCCCTGTGCCCACCTGTGGGCAGAAGGAGAAAGCTCATGACAGGTGTTTACAAGACGCCCGCCTCAGCTGGGCTCAGGCATGTCCTGGGCTCCCTGCATGTGGGCATCCACAGGTCCCCGCCTGCTGATGGCGGCAGCAGCGTGTCCACATGGTGCTTAGGCTTGAAGTGGGGGGCGATGTGCGCCGCCTGGCCATAGACTGCGCCCTCTGCCTCTCTCAGAGATAGCCCTGAGGACTGACCGCCTTCATGCCATGGCTGTGCACCCATCCGGCCGTGAGACTGTCTGGGCAGACAGAATGAGCCCAAGTGTGTTGTCATCCCATTTGCTCTCAAGCAGTGGGGTGTGGTGTGGCCTCACTCAGCTCCTGGAGGACAGGCCCAGAGCGCCATCTCAGCCAGAACTGCCAGCCTTCCTGCAGGAGGAGGGCTGGGCTCAGTCAGCATGCCTCAGCTTCCTGACCTGGCATATCAGGCCCTCCTCCAGCTCAAGCAGGCCTGGTGTGGCACAGCTGTCTAGGCCCGGCAGGACCATTGGCATGAAGCAGAAGTCCTGCTTCTACTGTGGGTGGGCTGGTGACGGCTGTCCTCACCCTTGGCTTAGCCACCCCAAGAGTCCCCACACCTACTCACCTCGTCAGGTGCTCCACTGCCTGGAAAGAAGTTTCCATCATCGTAGCGGTGCAGGGACACATAGAGGACGCTGGGGTCACTGTAGAAAGCCTGCTGGGTCCCGTTCCCATGGTGCACATCCTGAGAGAGCAGAGAGGCTGAGGGCGGGGTTGGGCCTCAGAGCACAGCGCCCGGCCCAGGCACACTGTGGAAAGACCCTGCTCATGGGTCCCCAGCATGCTGAAGGGGGTGCAGGCCGCAGGGCCACGGAGGCTGTGTCTGATCTCGGCCCCGGCACAGTTCTGACCTGGCAATGAGGGGCTGCTGTTCCAGCCGGTGAGGGCCCTGTCTTTGAACAGCCATTTGGCCAGTGTGTCCATGATGTGTGTGACATTCGACATTCCCTCAGCCTTCATCAGGAGGGTGACAGAGACTTAGCAAAGAGCTTGCCTGGGTTCCAGGCACCATTCTGCAGCTACCAGCCTTGTCCATAATCACAGTGCCCACTGACATAGGCTACCATGTCACCAGAGGGCACCCGAAGAGAGTCAGGAGGGCCTCTTCCAGGCTGCAGATGCCTGCAGCCCAGGCCACATGGGAGGGCTTCCAGAACACAGGGGACACCTGTGCCACAGGGTTGTATGTCTGTGGGGAGCTGCACGAAGCCAGCATCTCCTAACAGGGAAACTGCTGCTTTGTCTGACCTTCTCCATAAAGGATAGGAATGCCAGGGGAGCATGCAGCAGCAGGGACACTGCCTCAGGCCTGTGGCCATGATTGGTCACTTGGCCACACTGCCATCACAGCCTTCCCAAGGAAGGGGGATGTACGCTGGGCCAGGAGTGGAAACCACTCCTCCTGCCTCAGCTGCCTTCTCCAGGTGCTCTGCCTGGAGCTGGCTACTCCCTGGGTTGTGTTCTTTGTCTCCACTAGGAAGGGATGCTGTAATATAAATCACTGCCCCATATGATGTGCCTTTTCTTTATTTTCTGTTAAAAATGAAGCTTGTGGAGATAGCTTGACAGTCTTAGTGCCTGCCTGGCAAGCGCAAGGACCTGGGTTCATTCCCTGGTACTGCACACTGTGCTGGCCATGGAGTCCAGGTGTGGTGGTGCATGCCTGTAATTCCAGTACTAGAGAGGCTCAGACAGGAGGATCACGAGTTTGAGCTGCGTAGCTAGACCCTTTACCAAATAAATAAAGATTAAAAGAAAATGAAATGTCAGGGCTGGTTAGATAACTCAGTGGACTAAAGCACCTGCTAAGGCAGAGTACAGCAACTGGCATTTGAATCCCAGCATGCCGTGCTGGCCCTGGCCCCAGGGCATGCTGAGACAGTGATTGAGACTGGGCATGGTGGCAAGTGCCTGAACACGAGGATCACTACAAGTCCGATCCATGTAGTGAGACCCTATAGCCCCTGTCCTAAATACATTTTTAAAAATTACATAATAAAAATGAAAAAAAAAAGTCATAGACCCCCAGAAGAGTGTTCCACATGCATATAGCTTCAAAACAGAGTGTGAAATGAGTACCCCAGGGCTCACTCCTGTGTGAGGAGGCAGTAACCACACTGAGCTGAGCAGTAAAAACAGCACCTCTGGGACCTGTCCTAGCCCCCAGGGCCAGAGGTCGGGGCCTACACAGGTACTGCCCTCCACCACAGTTTGGACCTGGCAGGGCGGAGAACACATGACAGGCTCTCGGCACAGGTGTGGGCCCTACTGGCCAGGCTGTGGGAGAGACAAGCCCCCGAGGCTCAATGTTCACAGTGGAAAAAGCCTGCAGCCTGTACCCAGGGCCAGGAAGACTACGGCCTCTACTCACCGCCCACCTGGGATGGGGTTGTGCCACTCACCCAGTCCACAATGAGGATCCTGCTCACGTTCAGTCGCTGCTGGAGGAGCCTGGCTGCAACTGCCACTGAGTTGAAGTAGCAAAAGCCCCTGGAGGAGGCAGAAAGGTGATGTCACCACTGCGGCCCGCAGGCCTGCGAGCCTAGAGGAGTCCAGCACGCTGACGGCTCCTCCCTCGGCAGCTGAGACCTGAGCTAATGCTGTTGATCAATCAGCCCCGCATGAGCACTGCGCTGCATGTTCACATGCAGACACAGCACACAGGCGTAAACACACGCTCGCATCGGTCGGAGGCACACATACACAGCTATGCACTCAGCCAAACACACAGGCACATACCACACACAGAAGCATGGACATGTGCACATACAGACATCTGTGGATTGGACAAATGCCACAAGTATGCACACAAGAACATGCACACAAACATGTGTGCACACATAGCAGACACACGCTGCATGAACACATATGGGCACTCAACACAGACCTACACACACACACTACAGATCACACATGCACAGACTGATACCCACAGATATGCACATATGCAGAGACATATCAAATATACAGATACCTACACACACAACATATAGACATGTCACGCAGGCACAAACATAGCAATACACATATTACACAAATATACAACACACATGTACAGAGATGGAGATAACTTATCACATGCATCACAGATATAGATGCATGCATGCACACACATATACACACACACGACCCAGTTTCCTGCCTGGAGCTCTCTGGGCTGCCAGGTGAGGTCTACCCCACCTGTGCCCTCACAGAACTTCATGGAACCCTACCAACATCTCCAGGGATGTCACCCCCAACACTGGGATGTGGTCTATTTTAGCTGCTTACACTTATCCTCCACATCCAGGACAGGAACAATGCTATACTTATCACCCCAGTGAGCAGCTGTGGCTTAGAGAATCTTACTCAGAGGACTAGGAAGACAGGCTAGAAAGTGATTCAGGTAAAAGCAACAATCTCCGTCTCAGTTTTCTGGCAGGATGGAGAAGCATAGGCCACTCTGCCCAGACTGTGCTATGCCCTGGAAGCCTGAGAGTCCGCACGTGACACAGGCAAACACTGCAACAGCACCTTGCACAGATGCCAGGAGTCCCACTGGACTCAGGGTTGAGAAAGTCCAGGGACTTGGGTTCCCGTCTGAAAGGGAACCTCAAAGGGACAAATGTACAGAAATTCTGCGGCGTCAGGAACATGTGTGCTCTGCAGCGAGGGGTGAGCGGTGGTAGGTTCTTTGCAGAGGCGTGCGGACCCCAGCCCAGCTCCCTGCTGGGAGGCAGCCTCTCCTCTCGCGGTAGGACTGCTGTGTCTGAAACAGTGTGGCCGCCCTCCCCCATGAGTCCAGCAGGCCCACCCTGCTCTTGCTGCGCCTGCACCCACACAGCCCTGCGGAGCAGGCGCCCAGCTGCTCTGGCGCTGACAGCCCTCCTCACACTCAGGTGTTCCCAGTCTCAGAAGTCTAGGGACTGTGTGCCCCTGTGGGTCAGTCTACACAGACCTCATTCATGCAAGTCTATAGTTGCCTTTTCTTCTCACCTCCAGGACCACACACCACACTCAGACTTCAGGTGTGTGGGTGGCAAGTGCCCAGGAAACGCAGAACAGAGCCCAGAGCTGCCCAGCTGCAAGGCCATGTGGTGACACAGAGCCTGGCCTTGGCTGCACCAAGCTATTGGTGCCAGGTGAGCTTACTCTGTGAGAGAGAAGGTTCCCCCCTCTGCCAGAGGCTGCACTGGGCCCTTCTCCGAGGTCCCCCCATCTCGTCACTTGCCCATCTTTTTATCAAGCTCCCAGGGAGGCTGACACATTTCAGCACCTGCACCCTTCACTGGCCTGCTCTGGAGCCTAGGGAAGGGAGATGCAGGGCAGGGGCCACACTGCGGGCTGTGTGCAATCCCCCTGGGGCCCGCCTGCCCTCTGCATCCACTCACATAGGCGTGCTCTCTTCCGCATGGTGTCCTGGGGGCCGGACCACAGCAAAGCCATTCTGCAGGGAACACAGACAGTGAGGAAAGACGCAATTCAAGCCCTGAGAAGGCTGTTATAAGCACCCTCAGTGGACACAGCACCTGGGGGAGGCACAGCCTCTTCCACCTTCTGGTCACACTGCTATGGGGCGTGTGTCAGAGTGGCTGTGAACCTCTGGAGTTCTTTGTCCTGTTCTTAAAGTGGCCTGCTGGCTTCAAGGGTTTCCTGTAACATTAGGTGCTAAGGTAAGAGGCAAGGCTGTGTAGTATGGAGGGCCGGGGTATTCTTGGTGCCCATGGCTCATGACCTACTGCCACCTGGTGGAGACCCAAGTTCGAGTGGGAGGGAAGGGGCTGTTTGGGCAGGCTGTCCAGCTGGGCCCTAGGGACACCTGTCCTAAGGCAGGGTGGCTGGGGGGCATGTGTGTGGCAGCAGTTGCAGGCACCACACATAGTGAGCAGCTCTATTTCTACTCTAGAAATGCTTTGAGGTGGGCAGTGACGTGGCTGCGTGTCCCCATCTGTCATACCTGCAGCTGCCATTTGCAAACTGCTCTGGCTGGGGCTTAAAGCAGCTCCAGCAGGCACCCTACATCTTGCTGGCAACAGAAAGCCACACGGTCAGCTCCGCCAAAGCCTCCAAGGGCAGCTGACTACTGACAGTTGGCTGAAGCTGGCGAGCTAGCCCAGGATGGACCCAAAGCAGTGGAGAAGTCAAGAGGCCAGCTCAGGAGGTAAGTCCCATCCTTTAACACTCACTGCTGCCAATCCCACCTCCTGGTCCTGGCTCTTCCCAGTGTGTCTGCAGGCCTGGGTTTGACCTTTTGCTTTGCACCGATGGTGCTCAAGCCCCAGAAGGAATTGCTGGTGCTGTGCACAGCCATGGCTGAACAGCAGTGCTGAACAGCGGCACAGCACAGCACCGGCCCTTGAGGCCTTCACTGCCTTCACATTTGTGGGTAGAAGGCAGTTTCCCCCAAGAATGCCCTGAGGAGCCTGCCAAAGTGTGCATTTTTCAGCCCTGACACTCATGTACCATCCTTTGACGCAGGGCCAGCCAGCAGGATGCGTACAGGGCTCCCGTGGCCAAGGCTGCAGGCCGTCTCCAGACAGCGCTGTGCAGAGGCTCAGAGGCCAGCCGTGCCGGCTCCTGCCTCCAGAGACCCTACACTGCTTATAAGAGGGAAACAAGCTGGTGTCTCACCGTGGGCAAACCGTGGGGCGCTCCAAAAACAGGGAAATTGGCCTGTCATGTAGAGGGAAAGAGCAGGCAGAAGCTGAAGGGGTTGAACCCCAGGCTTTCAGCCCTCCAGGCACCCTAGCTAGGGCTTTCTGTGAAATACAGGGGGTCTGGACAGGGTGTCATATGTGAGGGCTTGGGGACCCCACTTAGCAAATGACCCTGCAGTACTGGAAAACCTCCCACAGGTCAAGGTCGGCAGGCTGGTTTCAGGCTGGCAGAGGAGGTTCAGAGACACACTGGCCACCTTCCAGGTCCTGCCTCTGCCAAGCACGGCCACAGCACTGGCAGGCCTCCGCCTCTTCCTGCAGTCTCACAGGTGTGCAACATGTGGCAGGACAACGCCTGACACTCCTATCATTTTAAATTCCTACCTTAAAAGTGCCTCGGCTGCAAAGTGGCCAATTCTAATAACCTAAGTCACATACCAAAGTGTTTTGGGACCCCCAGCAATTAGGAGGACCATGCAGCACCCCAGTACCAACCCTAGGGCAAATATGTTCATGCCCACTTCTAGGTTATAGTCCCCACCAGCCACTCTCAGCCTCATGCAGGGGAAGGGTAGCGGCTGCCCCTCCCCGCCAGGGTGCCCAGCCCAGCACTGCGAGCCCGGCTGACCTTCAGCTCCCCCGTGGCCACCTTGAAGACCAGCTCCACCACGCAGCCCACGGCTAGACGAGCAGCCCCCGATGAGTGCACCTCGTTCCAGATGGTGTCGCTGTCCACCTGTGGGAACAACGCGCCGTCAGCGTGTATCCCAAGGGTCCCAAGGGCTGTGCTGAGAGTGAATGCTCTGCAGGCAATGTGCATGCTTGCCCTCCTCAAGGGCCTGTCCTTCTCAGCTGCTTCTGCAGACTCCAGCATGTTGCAAGTGTGGTAAGGTCACCTGCCTTGGACTCCAGAGTTACTCTAACGACTAACACAGTGGAGTGTACGGACCTCCTTAGCTGTCTCTTTACATTTTGGTTTTGTTCTTGGCAGCACTGAGTGGAAAGCTCCAAGCATGCCTGAGAGCTGTCCTGGACTGGGGTGAAGGCTCTGCCCATATGCTTGACTTCAGTGTACAAACAACCTATGAGTCTGTGTCTCCCAGGCCAGGGTGATGGGAGAGGGAGTCTGACAGCCAGTTCTGTGGATGAGGCCCCTGTGGAGGGGCCCTGAGTTAGCCTAGGCTGTCACAGGGGTATGACAGCCTGGGCCAACTCAGCGCCTGAGCAGTCACCCCCAGGGTCCATCAAGTATGAAGTCCTGTGGGGCTGCCTGGGCCTTTCCTGAGAGGTGCCCAACCTGCAGAAAGTTCTGCTTGGCCATGCCTCCACCTTACCTAATTTCCACACAGACTTGCAGACCCACTGTGACCCTTCAGAGGGCCTGAGGGCACTGGGGGCACACTCCCATGCCAAGAGAACCTGTGTGAGCCCTGGTCTGGCCCGGCCCGGCCCAGCCGTAGCTCAGGGGGCTCCTGCACACAGTGAGGCCAGATGGGGGCCAGTCACTACAGTCTCAACGCGTCGCCCCTGGTGGGAGACATTCCTAAGCAGTGCACCAGCAAGGGCTACTCTCTTCAGGGCTCCAGCTGGTGTCCAAACGCCAGAAGGGTGCTGTTAATCCTGTATCCCTGCTCTGAGCACTGGTACCCAGCTCCTGCAGAACAGGCTCTAGTTTCCACCGCACTGAGCAGGCATGGACTAAGGTGACCAGATAAATAGCACTGGCTGGCTGGTTACTTTCCCTGAGGAATCCATTGCTGAAACTCGAAAGTGACAGCTGGTGGAGATTCCACTGGAGGCCCACATCCTCCAGGGCAGCAGGGTCCTGGGCAGGTCAGGCCCACGGTCTACACGGATGGGGTAAAATGACTCAGAAAGTTCCCTCCTAAATCTGAGGGGTCTGGCCTCAGGGCTGAACAATGGCAGCGGGAGGGGATGGCTGGCCACTCTGTCTGCCCTGCGGGTCCTGTGTGCTCTGCTCTCCTGCCACCACAAGTGGGCCTGCCAGGCCTGCCAGGAACAGTGAACAAGAGAATGCTGTGGTCACTGTGCAACCTGCTGACACCCCTGCTGTGGATCCCATGGCCTTGGTGCCCCAGCTCCGGGAAGCAATGTAGGGTGAGGCTGTGGCTCAGGCAGGGGTGTGTGGAGGGGCCACTCTGTCTGCGGCATGGCAATGCAAGGTAACACAGGACTGGGACTGGAGGGAAAGAGCCATTGCCCCCAGTGCGTAGTTCACAGTAAAGACAGGAAAAGAGGTGATGGGAAGGGCTGAGAAGTTCCAGGGGACTTGCAGGGGATGCAGTAAAAACGGTACAAGGTGGGGTGACCTAGTTCTGAGGCTCACAGGAGCCACAGGGCACTAGGGACACTGGGCCCTGGCCACACTCACAGGCAGGGCTGAGGCAGGTCAGGGATCACAGCGAAAACCAGGGATACTGCCCCTCCCTACTTGAGACTGCAATAGTGAGGAGCAGACTAGGCAGAAGTCTGTTTCATTTGGTTTGAAAGAAGGTCAAAATAATTTAAACTCTGTATTTAACAGAACTGAGGAAGGGTTTTTTGACTTCTAACACTGAAATGCCAATTGAAGGCTGCCTCCGGGAAGGTGGACAGCTTCTCTGTCACCTGGCCTCTCATCTAGACAGAAGCGCCCATCCCACACTGGGGCCCAACACCCTGGGGGCAGGCCCCTGCACCGGATAGAAACCTGCAGCCCTGCAGCCACCAAGCAAACCCACACAAAGCCAGGGTGGGGCACCACACGCCCTTGGGCACTGAGGATGTGGGCTGCTTTCTCTGCTTGATCCTGCAGCCACCATCTGCTCTTTCCCCCGTGGGATTCTGCACCCAGATTGAGGGGTGGCTCTGGCCACCTCCTGTGGCTCCGTTCTGGTTTTAATGTTTGGGAGGGGTCTTCTGGGCTAGTTCTGAGCTTGCATTTAGCTTTCATTTGCAAATTATAAATTCTCCCTTGCATGGGCCTGCTGGCTACAGGGTAGTACAAATCCAAATCTTTTTAAGTGTGGCCAAAAACTTGCCCTGAATTAAGAGATTGCAGCCTATTTACAATATAAAATAAAATAACTCTAGGAGTGCTCAGTGTGGTATGAATAAACGCCATTTATTCGCTTTCTGACAGGATAATTTTCAAAGCAGCGATTTCTGTAAAGACTCAGGAAGAAAACAATTTTGTTTCATTTCCATAACAGAATCCAGACCTCGCGCTTCACCCTGGACCTGTGATCACACACTGCAGCTTCACCCTGACAGCTCTTGCTGCCCACTGGCTCCCAGCACCCTGCTTCTGTGACCTCTGCAGGGTCCCTACCGCAGGGGCCACCGTGGATGGTCAGCAGTGCTGTGGCTTGGCTGCTGCCTCGTAAAAGAGGGTGTGGGAGTGTTTGCTGCCAATGCGGCTCTGGAGCCAGGACCCTCATGCAGAGGGAGGCAGGAACGCTAGGATGGAAGGCCTCCTGCTCTCCTATGTGTCTAGCTGACAGCACCATCTGTATGCAAGCCACAGGTTGCCACAACCCAGCCGACAGCTCTGCAGATGGCACACGGCAGTGGTGACATGGTCACTGTCCTGAGCTGGTCCATGGCTCTGGCCTGGAAGCAGACACACAGAAGCACACCCTGTCCTCGACTAGGGCTAGAGCGGGGGAGCCTGTGGGCTGCAGGTGAATCCTGCCTCCCGGCTGACAGTGGGAGCATGCATGTGCGCGGCACCCTCCCGAGGAAGGTGCCTGAGCTTGGCGATCAAAGCTCCTGGCTGCCAGGGCCTTTGAAGCCACACATGGCCGCGTACAGAAAACGCCTGCCAGCAACTGCCCATTGGAGGGAAGGCCAGGGAGACTTCTGTAACTGCTGGGAGCTGAGAACCAACAGCACATTAATTACACACTGAGGAACTACTTACCCCAACGCCACCACAAGGGAGCCTCACGAACACAGAGGTCAGGGAGCCTGTGGGGAAAGGACAGGGTCAGAGGCTGGGCCCCATTGCTCAGCTGGCACTGTGACACACGGGCTGTGGCACAGTTGGCAGTAGGCGTGGCCTCTCCAAATCATCAGCCTTCTCGTGGTGAGGGGTTGGCACTGGGCTTTTGCTGGTGCTCAGTGCAACAGCTGCGGCTACTGTGAACCTTGATGCCCAGACACCAGGCTCCTGCGAGTACCGCCACCGGCGGCACCCAGGCACTGGGCCACAGCCACCAGAGGGCAGGCCTTCCAAGGCTGCGGCTCTCCCAGGCCCTCATTCCTACTCGGGTTGGGCACGGTGACTCTGATGCCCCCACAGCTGTCCCCTGCTCCCCATATCACCAGGGCTCATGCACACCCACCGCCAGGGTGCACCAAGGGGAACTGTGCACCACTGTATGAGCCCAGAATGGACAGAGGGCAGGAGATGAACCCAAAGCCTGGCTGTCACAAAGGCCGAGAGTGCCCGGGGCAATGCGCAGATGTGGCTTGTGGCGTCCTTCAGGGACCAGCCTGGTCAGCACGGCAGGGAGGCCCACTCGCTCTCCGCCCACCTGCCCTGAACACCCCTGCTCTGACCTCAGGGACCTGAGCACTGGAATGGGCTGCCCAGTGGTGCAGGAAGAAAGCAGGCCTGGGGCTAGTGGCGCCTGACCAGGTGGACAAGGCTGGCGCTTCCTCATCTCAGTGCTAGGCCAGAGCCCAGGGAGTGGTGGCACAGAAGGGGTTGGGAAGTGCTGGCTTGTTCCCACCAGGTGTGACACAGAGCACTGACGTGGGCCCAAAGCTCTGGTCTCCCCATCCTACACAACAGGAGTGTCTGCATCGGGAGATCAGGAGTGCTGCCCGTGGGTGTGGCTGGGGGTGGCCTGTGCGGGCCGCGGCTCAGCTGGTACAGCATGTGGCTGGCTTGGGGTGGCACATGCGCAGGCCAGCCCCTGTAGCGTGGTGTGCATGTGGTGGAGGAATCTGCGCAGATGGGGCGCCCTCGGCTCAGGCACACATGCACTGAGAAGGCCTCCCCCTTCCCTGCTGCCCTCAGTTCCCAAGCTCATGCCCACAAGAGCAGCACCATGGCTGGGCCTCCCTTCACATACAGGACCCTCTAGTCCCACCCAGGCTGGCACCACTGCTTGCCCTTCTCCCCCGACACAAGCCTCCAAGGCTTGGGCCCCATTTTCTGTGGAGGGCACAGCTGCCCAGAGCTCCTTGGAGTTAGGTGGTGAGGCCGGGAGGAGGGTAGCACAGGTCCTGCCAGTCGGCTGATGGCCTGCTTGTCGGCTATGGCCATGGTGGCACTGCCTCGAGGCATGGGTGCAGGGAACTGGAATGTGGCCCTCCCATCAGCCTCCACGCAGGAGCAGGGTCGTGAGGAGGGTGCAGAGCTTGCTTTTTCCTGGTCACCTGTGCACGTGCATGCATGCATTTGTGCATTCCAAGATGATGTCCACGGCTCTGTGCGAGATGGATTCTCCTCACAGAGATAGTCAGAAACATCCATGCTCAAAGGCTCTGTGAAGGTGGAGCTGGCCGCTGCCTCAGCCCAGGACTGCTTCCACCCGTGCCGCGCTTCTGACTTTTCCCCTCCTTGGAACGCGTTGCACTTTTTCCTTTGCGCTGTGTGCTGTGGGACGTCATGTTTTCTCTCTAAGGATCTCGACGACGGTGCTTGTCCTGACACCCCGCCTGTCTGGCCTCCATCCTCAGCTCCTCGTGGACGCCTGCTCATGACGGCCTACAGAGTTCACTGCTCGCAGCCATGCTGCAACAGGGACTCACTCACTGTGAGCCTTGACATAGGGACCTGCAGTGACTGTCCTGTCATGACCCGTTGGCTGATCCCACAGTGGCCTCCTGCTACAGGGTAAGGGTGGGTGTCCAGGGAGCAGAGGGTAGGGGAAAGGGGGGTTGGTATCTAGCCCAGGGAGCCTTGCTGTGCCCATTATGGAGAAGGAGCAGCTGCCCAGGATTGCAGAGCCCGGTCCAGGGCTGGAGAGAAGAGGCCCTGGCCTCCTTCCCACTGTGAGCAGCCCTGGCTCTCTGCAGTCACCGTCCCCAAGCTGTGGGGGCTAGAGGCCCACTTCCTTGCCTGATGAGGCTGGAAGCCACCAAAGCTTGCTGCTATCTACCCTCTTTCCTTTCTCCCAATGTCTGTTTACGCGGGTCTGCAGGCAGTGGGACACAGGAAGTAGCGTGACACCCCAAGGCTGGTGCCTACCCATGGCCTCACGGCTCAGGAGAGGACGAGCAAAGAAGCATAGAAGGAATGATGACATGTGGCTAGGGAGGGCAGGGGAACATACCCCCAGGCAGTCTGCCTGACACAGGTCTGGCACACAGCAAATGTTCCACAAGCCTGCATGCCGCCTGCAGGCCCAGCCATGCCCACCCGCTGTGCTGGCCGTGACCCGTGGCCCCTGCCTAGGGGGAGTGCTGATGGGAAACACTGATCAGGACACATGCTGGTATGAGGCGGCTGCCTCTGGGGAGAACAGCGCAGCTGAGAAGGTGGCCTGTGGAGGTCCCCCCACATCCATGTCCTGGCAGCCTAAGCCTGGTCCTCACCTCTGCCAGGAGCTGGCACTGTCCCTGGGTCTCTCCCAAGGAGCGCATGGGCCTCGCCCCCCACTCTGCAGCTCTGGAGCCCACCGAGACTGAGGCATTTGTCAAGCTCCACCTGCCCTGCTGAAGACCCTGGGATGAGATGGGGATGCCCTTGCTACTGCTCCTCTCGTAGCCGAGCTTTCCCCTGCACCCACGTACACGGGGGCTGGCTTCCAAGCCAGAGAACTCAGCAGCCTCTGCTCATGGCTGATATTCAGGTGCCCCCTCCCGGAGAGGGGAGGTCAGGCTGAGACACCGGGCTTCCCCTCAGCCTTGCCCCGGGAACCCTGGAGTGGCCTTCAGAGCAGGACCCTGTGCAGCCCCTGGCAGGTAGACCTGCTGACCAGAAGCCATGAATCAGGGTCCCCAGGCTGTTCTGCACCTACAGCCTGCACAAGGTGCTCAGCCAGGACCAGCTAAGGATGCAGGGTGGGCGGAATCTTGGCCAGCTCTGCAGAGCCTGGCCCACCTGTGGCAGGGCTAGCCCGCAGGGCCATGGGCTGGAAACACATGGTGAGAGCAAACCCAGTGGGGAATCTAAGGAAGACTGAAATACCTAGAAGCTTCTTACTGTCCAGCTTCTGCCTGTTGAGGGGGTTTGTGCCATAGAGCAGTGTGTGGGCCTCCGAGTGCACTGTCTGCAGCTCTTCCAAGGTGGCCTTCCGTCCACGGACACACTGTGGAGACAGCAGAGGAGAGCACATCTCCATGTCAGCTGCTGTTTCAGCTCCACAGCAGATACAACCACCTGAGGGAGACTCAGCTCGACACAGGAACACGCATGGCTACTGGGTTGTTGAAAAACACAAAGCAAACACTGCCTGGCACAATACTTAAAGAACATTTTAAAAATTGTTTTGAGGACTTGCACTTTAAGCGTAGCTTTGAAAATCATTCAAGAAGAGAACCACAGTCTCTGACATGCTGCCAGTCGCTGTCACACAGGTGATCTGGCAACCAATTATCACAGTGGCCCTCAAACAGCTGACCGCTGCCCCAGGCAGCATGTGCTGGCCTTGCCAGCTCCTGGTTCAGTTCCTGGGGAGCCAGAGCCCACTGCCCTTGGCACACTGCAGCCCAGTATGGGGACCCACGTCAGGAGCACAGGCCGGCACACTCGGGAGGCTGCCACTGCCCACTGTGATCTGGAGGACCATGTCTTAAGTAAAAAGGCTGTTTTCATGTCCACCTCAGAAATTAAGAGAAACATTGCCATTTTCAGTTGAGCTGTTTACTTAAGTGCTCAGAAGGGCAGTGGTTTGGACATGAGGTCCAAGCCAGCAGCCCCCGCAGCCAGCTCCCACAGCCCTAATGGTGCAGGGACTCGCATGCACGGCCCTGATGCTGGCCGTCACCAAGGCTCTAGCCTCGTTCTGACCACCTGCCCAGCCTAGCGCTCGCTTATTGCAGGCCTCAGGGTCTGAGCCTGGGGTTGTGCTGGTGCTCGCTCTTATGGAGTGCCCCTGCAAGGCACATAGTGCAGTAGGTTTCCCTGTGCAAGGCAGGCACCCCAGGGCAGTGGCCCTGACTGGGGAATGCGACAGTGCCAGGCACGTCTATGATCCTCTCAGCAGACACAGTAGGGCCCGGGCCATGTCCTGTCTGGCCAAGGTCCAGTGTGCCATGCTCGGAGAGGCTTGTAGGGACACAGCTGTCATGGCATGTGGCCCCAAGTACAGCCATGAATATGAACAGCAGGAGAAGTGAGCGAGGTCATCCGTGGAGGCCAGGCTCTTGGATGAGTTGAATTGGAGCGAGCCATCTTAAGTTAGACCAGAGGCGGAGCTCCTGAAGTAAATGCTAACATGAGTTAAAGAGGAAGAACAAGAAAATCCATCTTTACAGACGTTTCAGACAGACAAAACAGAATGCTGAGACAGTGGGGCCACAGAGTCCCACAGGTCCACACCTGGCCCGGGGACACTGCCACGCCGGGGCCAGGCTTCGGCCTCACTGCTGTCCAGGCAATGACCACAAGGCTGTCAAGCAATCAGACCCAGGCAGCTCTGCTCTGCCATCTCAAGAGGAATGGCCCTGGCTGGGAGCCTGGCGCATACTGCCCTGGGCTGAGTGCGCAAACAGAGCCCCTGCCTGGTGGAGGAGGGCAGCGTACCCAGGATAGCGCCTGCCCTGGCATTTCTAGCTGTGCCCGAGGCCCCCTGAAGGCCTCATCTCTCCAGGGTCCTGTGGCCCCACTCGGGGCCCAAGTCCTCCATTCAATGGTTGCCTGTGCTCTTCTCGCCACACTCCTGCCTGGTTCCTGCTGGCTTTTCTGGCTGAGAAATGGCCTCTAAGTGCCCCGGCCTGGATGGCCTTCCCGGGAAGGGAGAGATGGAGCAGAAGACAGGTGTGAGGGCACCTCGAGAACCCCACGGGTGGCTCTGGGAGGGAGGGTGTCAGGCCCAGCCCATGTGGCTGGCAGCATGCAGGGATGTCCCTCACAGCCCTGTGTGTTGGACGATGCTGCCCCCAGTGGCACAGCTGTCCCCTGGCCCAGCACTACTGGTCCGGGCGTCACTCTCCTGGGGAAAGTATTTCAGAAGAGGTGTGGGCTGGGCCCTGGGCCCTGTCACCTGAAAGTGAGGTATCTCAACTAGAAGTGGCAGAGAAGACTGGCCAATCTGGAATACTCCAGCTTGTGTAAGGGGAAGGGGGAAGGGTGGGGATAGGAGTTGGGCAGGAGGAGGCAGCAGGGCTCAGAGGGGGTCCACACGCCATAGTAGTGTGGGCTACAATAGCCCGGCCAGGTGGGAGCAGTTGCTCTGGGACACAAGAGGACCGATCTCTCCAGTTTGTGGGATTGCTGGTACAGGTGTGGGGTTGGGGGGGGCCCTCCTTTTGTAGACACGCCAGTGTTCCACAGTGGGACACAAGGCTGTCTGGGCCACCAGGCCATCAATACTCACTACCCCGTGGCTGAATGCACCTAGGCAGAGGGCTCCAGTGGGGCTGGAAGGAACAAGGGCCTCCATTTGAGCTTCCTGTCTCGTCTCCTGTCCAAGGGCCAGCCTGGCCATCCTCGCTGCCAGGCTCAGGGAGTAAGGCCTGGCCAGAAACAGCACCATGAGACCTGTGTAGGGTTCCAGGGGGAGAGGGGACGAGAACCAGAACAGGCTCAGGGTAGCTGGCCTGCCCGGTTTGCTGCTCGGCTGTCACTTCATGGGGACGCACATCTGCAGGGGCTGCGGCCCAGGCTGGCATGCAGCCTCTGGGTGAGAGTGCATACTTCAGTGGGCAGCCAGTAGGCTGGGTCCGAGCCACTTTCTGGTGGCCCCTGAGCTACAGCGGTCCGAAGGGCAGTGACCTGGACATCCTGGGCAGCAGCCGAGTGCAGGAGGGAACCACTTCCTGAGGGTGATGACAAGGGAGGGAGGGTGGTTGTATAGGGGGCCGACGAGGTGTCAGAGGGTATCAATCGGGGAAGGATGCCAGAGAGTCGGATGTAGGCTCTCGGGAAGGCAGCTTTGTACTGTATTATGGTTTGTCTAGCTGTCCCCCCAAAGCCTCATGCAGTCATTGGGGGGGGGGACTTCTAGAGTTTGAGATTAACTCATGATTCACTGGGATTCTGGGTCTTAGTACTGCTGGGATTATGGGTGTGAGTGCTACACCCAGCCTGGGGTGGAGAGCCTGAATGTGACACAGAAGACAAGAGACTTCTCTCTCTGCTGTCACTGCTGTTACTCCTCCATTCTGCTCTTGCTGTTTGCTGCTCCCATGAACAGCTGCCCTCTGCCATGTGCCACTCTGCCTTGGAGCCAGCTGAGTGTGGACTGAAACCTCCAGTAACTGTGAGCTAAATAAACCTTCCTTCATTTTGGATGTCAGGTATTTGTCCCAGCAATGAGAGAAGAGTCACTGAGACAGGTCGGGTCATGGCTGGGAGGTGGCCACCTGGCCCTGGGGGCAGTGGTGCCGAGTGGAGGGCCTGGGAGGTGTGCCTGGAGGGGGTGAACAAGTGGGTTCCACACCTGGCCGGCTGCCCTCTCCAGACCTGCTGCATGTATTTCCCAGAGAACCCAGAGCCAGTTCTTTTCTTCATCAAGTGCCAGTCCCACGAAGTCTGCTTCCACAACAGAAGCACAGGGCACGGGCTACCACAATGGAGAGCTGGGAGGTGCTGGATGGGGTCCTCTCAGCCCTTCCAGTGGGAGCCACACTTGCCCCCAGGGGTGGCCCTGGGTGACCGCTGCATTAGGAGCACAGCACAGGCTGCCCACCCTGCTCTAGCCCCTCACCTCACACTTGCTGCGCAGGCCGGTCTCCTGCAGGCGGGACCAGATGCTTTGGATCCTCCCTGCGTGCTCGGGGTGGCTGTTGGTATTCCCACAGGCGCACTGGTGCTTCAGCATTAGCGTGTCATACACGAGGCCTGCGGAAAGGCGGGGCCAGGTCACGGGCTGCTGTGCAGGATATCTCAGGCCCCCAGGAGCATGTGCCACATGCACACAGGGCAGGTCAGCGGGCACTAGCTCTGGGGGACATCTGGCCGCTAGGAGGAAGAGGTGCAGGTCCCTCAAGGGCCACGTCAGTTGGTCACGGGCCAATCTCTGTGTGAGGTTGTTCGAGGACTCTGTGGCCAAAAGGATGCAGTGCCAGAGTGCTCAGAAACTCCGAGAGTACTGGTGGGACCTACACATGGACCTGCTACAAGCACACACGTCACACACACCCAGGAGGGCTTGCCCTGTGGGGCCAGCACACCTGCTCTCCAAGGTGGAGCTAGAGTCACTGGGCAGGGAATGGGAACCCTGGGCAGGCAGGGCACTGACAGGGCTGTGGCAGCAGATGGTTGCTGGGTCCATCCCTTATGCTTCTGACCCTGGAGTGGCTCTTCCTGTTCATGCTTCCATGCCCAGGAAGAGGAGGTCAGCCTGGCCCAGGTTGAAGCCTGGCCCTGTGTGTCCCTTCTTACACCTTCCACCTTGATCTCTTCTGTGTTGTGCTAATGGGAACTGGTCACGTGGCCCTAGAGGCTTTGGGTGCACTAGCAGAGCTAAGTGCTGGAAGATGAGACTTCTGGGAAAAGGGAAAAAGGCAGCAGTGTGGGTGGTGGGTGTGGGTGTCAGTCGCACTGGTCAGATGTTACACTCAAGAGTTTGTGATGGTCACGTCCGTACTCATGCACAGGTGCACACTGCCCACATCTGTGCGTGGACACACACATGTCCTGTCCCCTCTGCAGTCAACAGGCCCCAAGAGGAGCTTCCAGGGCAGCTTCTGGGCCACACGGTGCAGCTCTGGACGCAAGGAGTGCAGCACTGGGTGTGGGCAGGACACAGGTGGGCACAGGGGTGTCTGTGAGGAGTCCCTTCTGTTTCACTTGCCCATCAGCTAGCAGAGGCATCAAGGGTGGCACTGGCCCTTTCCTCAGTTCCCTGCCCATCTGCCTCTGTAGGGAAAATGTGCTCATTCATCAATGAGGATGGACCTGGAAAGGGCACCAGCACAGCGGGCCCCTGGAAGTTGCCTGTCACTGCCACAGGGTGAGTTTGCTTGCCGTGGAGCTGGGGTCACCCTGCCCCGAGTGGGGGTCTGTGGTGCAGGCTGCAGAAGTTACCCAGCTGGCTCTGTGGCCTTTTGCAGCTTTCTTCCTACTTTTTTTTTTTTTCTGAAAAGCATCTCTTTAATTTTGGGATAATTACTGCCAAAGTTTTTCTCTGAACAGGAGCAGTGTCCCAAGATTGGAGAGCTGAGGCGTCTTTGGGGCATGCAGAACAAGATGCTTTATGAGGCTTGTGAAGAATGAGTCACTCTATGTACATAATGTTCTTCTTTATGTGTCATTAAAAAGAAATACAAGCTCAGAACACCAAGGACAGCTATCCCAGCTTCCAGCTTGTCCCCCGTGGCAGTCCAGAGAAGTCACCTTTCTCTGCCAGGAGCTGGCCTTGTCTGGCTCTGGAAGCCGAGGGGCCCCAGTGTCAAGTGTCCAGCCTCCACTGCCCAGGCTGCATGGGCACCATGCCCCTCCTGAGCTCTCGCCCTCAACACCTTCCAGGCCAAGGCTAACCTGCTGTTGGCCATCCCTGGTCAGAGCAGGAAGCGTGAGTGATCTAGGATTCTCTGGGAGAAGAAGTGGCCTTCTCAGTCCGTGTCTGACCTTTAATGCCAGCACAGCCTGTGGTCTCAGGGCCTCAGACACCCTCTGAGAGGCAGCATTACCTGTGGTGAACCTCGGCTTGCTGGGGGGCTCCTGGACAGTCACCGGGAAGGTGGCAGATGCTGGGGAGGACTGTGCCCGGGACAGAGGCCGATGGCTGCTGAAGGACACAGGAATGCCTGCAGCCTCCATGGATGCCTGGTAGGTCCTCAGCTGGTGGATCCGCTGCTGCTCCAGCAGGAGCGCTTGCTATGGGGAGAGAACGGCTGGCTGTTGCCCAGACCCTGCTGCCTGGCCCATGGGCACGGTCACACATATTCGCTCACTCAGCCGGACGGGCCCTGGGCTGCCTCACAACCACTCCTGAGCAGATGGAGCACAGGGTTTGCCAGGCGCGGCCCTGCCTGGAGTCACGCAGCCTGTGCAAGGCGGATGGCAAGCACCACGCCACGCTGCACCACTGGCTGCTGAGGGTGCTGCCGAGCAGTCTGCCTGGGTTCTGTGGAGAGTGCAGCACCAACTGGCAGCCTGTGTGCAAGGGTGTGGTGAACCCCACTGGGTCCTCGGGATGGGGAGCCCCTGAGGGAGAGGAGACCTCGAGAGCCTTCCACAAAGGTAGGGTGAGTCCTGCCCAGCCCTCCCAGGTCTGCCCTGAAGTCTGCAGAAAAGCACCTTCTAAGCAGGGCTTCCAACTTGCTCACTGGCTAGCCCAGTGCTTCAGCTCAACGCCAGCTGTACTTTCCTCTAGAACTTAGCAAATGTCTGCTAGATCTGCCAGCAGTCTCACGTGAGCTGGTACAATGCATCTGGGGCTGAGCATCGTACTGGCTCTCAGTGTCCAACTCATGCCATTTTTCTAGACCTTTAAGTCTGGTCACTTGTACCTCCTCGGCCCCCAGGGGTTTCGGCTTTCTGATCGGCTTGCCTATCTCTGTAATTTACCAACAAATCAGGCTCCCTGTCTCTCCCCAGTTCACATGCATCTGTGTCAGGTCTACAGGTCTGCAGGGACACCAACCTAATGGACAATGCCTGCTGGGGGGCAGTACACTGACACTTGCAGAGGACAGTATGCAGGACATGTGACACAAGGGAGTCCTGTCAGCTAGAGGACAAAGACCAGGCCCCAGGGTGCCATCAGTGCCTGACCACCCCCCTGCCAGGGGGCACCTGTCTGAAGAGCAGCTCCTGCTCGGAGGGCGGGCGCTGGCCAGGATCTGCTTCCCGCTCGGGCTCCACCTCCTCCTCCTCGCTCTCGATGGGCTCCTGCTTCACCTGCACGGCCAGCGCATGTGCCTCTTTCTGTCCTGGGAGGCGATCCAGGTAGGGCTCATCCAGCAGGGCCTGGTGCTCGCGGAGCTCCTCCTCTGTCTCCTCGGGGTGGCTCTCAGGTTGCCGGGCCGGCTCACTGGGTTTGGGGATTATCTGCAATGCGGAGAAAACAAAGGAAGCTTGGATCTTGGTCTGCAGACCATAAGAGGTTCTTCATAGACTTGGCACTTGTGGTAAGGGCCTGAGACACAGGGCCACCTGGGACTTGGCCTGGCAGGAGCCACCCAGCCTGGGGCCTGGATGCTCTACATGTCATGGAGCAGCCCTCAGCAAGGCTGAGGCTCAGGGAAGGGAAGGATTGCAGCCTGGGTCTAGTGCATGCTCTCGCAGACGTGGAGAGAAGCCTAGAGCAAGCTGCATGTGAATGCACCATGGAGAGTACAGGGTGCCTGGACTGAGTCCAGGCCCTCAGCCAAGCTGTGCAGGAATGTGCCCTCCCTCAGCAAGCTACCCAGCAGGACACACCGTGCACTGGCCAGAGCCTGGAGGCCCGCTCCAAGCAAGGCCTATCCTAGAGGGCTGGCTGCAGAGATGTGGTCAGTGTGAAGGCCCACCTGAACTGCGCTCTGCTCTGCCAGCTGAGGAAGGACACCTGAAACTCAAGGCCCAAAACTGAAGATGCCCCTGAACACAGTGCCTGCTACACAGCCCCATGCCCCTCGGCAAGTCTGCACTGCTGTTGAGAAGGATCTGTCTTTTGCAGACTGGCATCCCGAGGGAGTGGCTCTAGGTTGCCCAGGTCTTCAATCACAGCTCATCTGCATTTTACGAACTCTTCATGAACTTGCTGCTGCCCCTCTCCCCCAAACCTGAGGCCAGGCTCAGCAGATCTCGGCTGTGAGATCACTGCTCCATCACTTGTCCAGGGCCTAGCCTAGATACAGTGGTAGAGACACCATACAAAGCAGCAGAGTGCTTGCCTCTCTGAGCTAGGAGATGTGAGAGAGTTCAGATGTGCTGAGGGGATCTGTCATTGGGTAGCCCCGACTTTGGACTCTGAATGTATGTCCTGCCACCCAATCCTGGGGAGGCAGGTGCTAATCATACATGGCTGCTAGCTGTACAGGATGTGAGCAACAAGGGCAGACAGTGCCAGGATCCCTGAGTTCAGGATAGTGCAGCTGGGAAAAACCCGAGGTCACAGAGGCAGAGCCTGACGCAGAGCAGGACATGAGGATGCTGGTCCCTGCAAGAATGTGTAGGTTCCAGTGACCAAGCGCACAGCACATACATGCGAGCAGCACAGGCAGCAGCAAATAGGGCACACCCCTGCCTGGCCTGGAGAGCAGAGCGTGTGGGAGGGTCTGCTCACTTCTCTGCTCCTGATCTCAGTGGCAACCCCCGCCCAAAGAGCCAGGAGAAACCTATTTCAAAGAAATAAGCTGATGACCCATACAGCTGCTTGTGCACATGAGGGTTTGCTGAGGTGCGGCCTGTAGCACACTGCTGTGGAAGAACAGCCAAGGACAGAGCCTCTGGGGAGTGCAGAAAGCTCCAGAGAAGGCAGCAAAGAGATCTGTGAGGGAGGCGGGCGAGGTAGAGGGCGGCAGCAGGGGCTGGCAGTACCCCATGCCTGGAGCAAGCGAGCTGGAGGGCGTAAGTGGGAAGATGGGGCCCTGGTGGAAAAGGCCAAGTGTGCACCCTGGAGAGGACCCAGCAAGACCTATGAGCTACCCACTATGAGTGTGGGTCTGGGAGACAGACCAGGCCAAAGAGAAGAATGATCAGGAAGGAACAAAGATGGGCTAGGACAGATGCTGGGCACTGGAGAAGGCCTGTGGAAGCCACCCCCTTAGACACGAGGGTACCATGGGGTAAGGGGCAGGGGTGCTCTCCCTGTCACAGACACTAGCAGTGGGGCTGGGCAGCCTCTGCGAGTGCCCCCACCCACGGCGACAGAGACCGGGGAAGGGAGGCCAGTGGGGTGGGCCCTTCACGCAGAGGAAATGGGTCATGGCAAAGCAGAGATGGTCATGGCATGGAGCTAGTTTGTGTCTTTGTGAAAGGAGGGTGGCCATATGCTGCTCCCTGTTTTTATGTCTCAAACCTAAAGAACAGAACGTGAGAAAGTCCCAGATGCCTTTGGCCCAGCTGTCTGCAGACAGGCTTGGAGTTGGCCGCTCTTCCTGCTTCGAGTGCAGCTGCCCCTTCCTGACCAGTCACACCCTTTGTGGCCCTTCTTTGGCGGGACAAGGGTCCCAGTTGTCTTTTCAGCTTCATTCCTCTGGCGGAGGATCGCAGGGCCTTTCTACCTTTTGAAGAGGTCAGGCATGCTGCGCTGAAACACCTGATTCAGAAGAGGGTCATTTCCCATGTCAGACTTAGGAGGGTGAAGGTATCTCCAGCAGGGTGGCAGGTGGAAGTGTCCTCCCATGCCTTGGTGAGGAGGCTCTTGGCAGACGTCCTTTCCACACCCACAGCGCTGTGGTGGTGGCTGGGGACTTCCCTGTGGGGAGGGAGGTGCGGTGTGCTGACGGCGACCTGCAGCTTGGCTTACTGTTATATGTGACAGAGCCTTGGTCTTCCCTTTTTAATTTCCTGGTCTCTCCTAAATTACAAGGCTTCCACTTCCGGGATAGGTTCCTGGCTTCCTCTTCCAGGGTCCCTGAAGTCCTTCAGGTATGTGTGTGTGCATGTGCATGCACGTGTGTGTATGTAGGGGTGGCAGTGGAAGAGCCAGGCCCAGCAACTGCTCTGGCTCTCAGGATGTCCATGAGAGGGGACCCTTTCATGGAGGGGGTGACAGGGGTGCTGGCTCCTGCCAGGCCGTGGGCAGATGCTGGGCTATTTCACATTGGAGGTGCAGTGGGGTCTCAAGGAGGCCCTGGCTCTGCCAGGCTGCCCTCCAGAGGGTGTCTGGGAACAAGGCCACCGAGGCAGTGTGGTCACCTGTCTCGGAGCCTCACCTGTGAGGAAGAGTAGACTGCAGCCTACATGCCAGGCCTGTGGGGCTCAGCATGGCAAGGTGCAGGTGTGGCTGGCCTCCCTCAGCCAGGGCCCACAGAAGCCTGTCTCTGTCTCTCTCCTTCGACACTGTGCTCTCTTCTCCTGTGCCCAGTGCAGCACAGCCAGCCAGCAGGGAGGCAGCAGCACGGGCACAAGTTCGTGGTTCTCCAGGCGTCATGTACCTCCATATTTGGAACAATATACTGTCAAATGACAGCCTGGAGTTCAAGGCCAAGGAAAGCATGCAGACATTTAATAGTGGACACACTCACATTGAGCCCACCCACACGTCTGCTTTTCCATACTCAAAAGTGGGAAAGTCATGTTGAAGGGAAATACCACCCTGAGGGCACCGGAGTCAAGTGACAGGGCTGTGGACAGAAACTGGTGAAAAAGTCACTTTTAACTCCAGCGGTAGAGACACTTTTACACATGCTTTTCTGGTAGAGTAAGAAAGGGATTTTCCTGACACCAATTCCTGCTTAGGCAATATGACCCTGTGAGGAGGGACAGATGCAGCAGCTGACAAGGGCCACCACCGGGGCATCAGGCCTCACACCCCCATGGATGGCGCGTCACCCCCCCCCAAGGCCCCTCACTGCATGCAGCACAAGGCAGCAATGGGGCTGATACCATCCGCACTGAGGGTAAGGCTGAGTACATGGTGGGCCAGCAAGAACCTGCTGGGGTCCCCACAGTGTCCCACCCAGAAGCAAGCCTTTTGATGGCATCAGCACGGCCCGGCCTGGCCCGACGCTGGTGCAGGTGGGACTAGACAAGAGCACTGTCCTCCCAGGTATCCTGGAAAGCACTGTGTAAGCATCTCAGGCAACTGTCAAGTGCTACTGTTGTTGTTTTTTTCTTCTTTAATCTTAGGGAAGGTTCTACAGGGTGTTCAGGGTCGTAGTGATCCGCCTGTTTACAGCCTCCCAAGAGCTAGGGTTACAAGCACCCAGTCTCAGTCATGGTCTCAGCACACCCCAGGGGCACAGCCGGCATGGCAGGCCCGGGGATCAAACCCCAGGCCCTTGCATCTGCTTGAAGGTGCTTTAATCCACTGAGGTATTTGGCCTACTGTCAAGTGCTACTGACAGACAAGATCCCATGAGATTCCTGGTCTCTGACTCACTCTTGTCAAGAATAAACTACATGTATACGGCTATTTCCTGCCTTCTGCAAACCTCCTACCCTATCACTTAGAGTGCAACAACGAGATTAATAGACCGTGGTGGCACTAGAAAGACAGGTGTGCAAGTGTGTCTGATGCTGGGGTACAGACACTTGGCAGGTGCTCCTTGCCCCAGGAAGGGCCTGTACATGACGAGACAGTGCCCTCACTCCAACACGCACCATGATACCTGCTGTGAGGACCTGCTGCACTGTGTGGCGATCTGATAGTGCAAGGGGACCAGAATAACCTGCCTCCTTGACTGTGCACTCCCCAGTCTGCAGGGAACACACTAGGGTGGATCTGGGTAGAAGCCAGCTGTGGCTGAGGGATGCTTTCTCAGGCAACCTGTCCTGGGCCCTGGCGAAATCAAGCCTGACTGTGGTGAAGAATTCTGAGATCCCCTTCTCTGCTGGAACCAGGGGCTCAAGAGGAGGGACTGGACTAGGCAGTATGCAGGCAGAGGTGCCAAACAGCTAGCATCTGCCCTGCAGGGGCCTGGGGAGGGCCTGCACCTGCTGCAGTGGCTTCACGGGAGCCCTGCACCTGACCTTCCAGCAGCCCCTTCCCTCCCTGCCTATCAGCAGTTCCCTCCTTGGAAAGCAGTAGAGGGCCCTGGCACAGCAGAGGACCTCCCAAAGGGAGAGGACTGGTGAGGCGTAGTTCTGTCTATCTCCAAGCTGGCCATGAGCTCCAGGAGCTCCTTCAGAAGTTCTAGAGTCTAGGTCCTGGTTCTCTTTGGCAACAGCTTTACTGAGACACACAGTAGTTCTCCCTTATCCTTGATGTCCTGTTGTCAGTCAAGGTCCAAAACGTGAGAAAATTCCAGAATTAAATAATGCTGCAGACTAGAATTGCCTTCTGCTCTGAGCTGTGTGACGACATCTCACACCGACCTGCGCTGTCCCACCTGGGAAGAGCACCGGCCTGTCCAGCACATCCCCACTGCACGTGGCAGCTGCTGGCCTGGCCGCCCAATCATCCTGACCATCCCGACATGGTCCTGCTCACACACGGGGCCCAGCATCCTCACTCCTCCAGGCCAGTGCTGAGGGTCTTCGCAAGTGTTCCCCATGGATGATGTAACTTGAGAGCATTTCTATCACCCCAAGGAGGAACGCCATGCCTTTTCCCATACAGCCCTGTGCTGGAGTCTAGTCCCCACTTCCTGTCTCTGTGGGCCTGCCAGTTCTGGATATTTTGGGTGAATTAAGCCACACAACACGTGGTCTTGTGACTGACTGAATTCAGCTGGTGCATGACACTCTACTGACTTGTTGCTGTACATGTCCACTGTGGGCCCCTGACAAGCAACCTGGCTGTGTGCATGTTGGGACCAGGGACAGGCCTGGGCCGCACGGCAATGCAGTGCTCAACCTCCCAAGGGGCTGGCAGGCTGTTCTCACAGCAGCTTGTCTCTCTTCTGTCCTCACCTACCACGTGCTTTCTTCAGGTGCCAGCACTAGATGAAACTTACGCTGGTTGTTTTTGGTGTCCCACAGGCTGTCCACAAAACTCTCTCCTACTCAAGGTGGACCTCTGTCAGTGACGTCCCTCTGTGACGGACATCCATGGAAGGGCAGTCCTCAGTCCCCAGTGGTGTGAGTCCCATAGGTCAGCAGGGGGCCAGTGTGCCCCAGAGCTGGCCCTGCGGGTCACGGCTTTTGTACAGATCTACTTGGTAAGGTCAGGGGCCCTAGAAGAGCGGCGGGCACCACTGCCCGCGCCCTGCCTCTGCCCCAGAGGTGCCCGCAGCACAGAGCTGCTTCATGCGTGGCTGGGCCCGCACCCTCACGCACCTTGCCCATGTGCAGCTGCTGCTGCTGGAAATGCTGCTTGTGCTTCTCCAGGAACTGCTGGTGCTGCTGCTGGATCACCAGGTGCTGCAGGGCCTGCGCGCTCTGGGGGAGTGGTGCCGACTGCGTGCGCCCCAGCGGGCGGTGCTGCCGCAGCTTGTGCATGGATGGGGACACACGGTCCGCGCCGACCAGGGGCTGCGTGTGCAGGGGCAGCGCACCCAGACCTGGAAGACACCAGCCTAAAGATAACATGGAGGAAGAGGCGGTGGAGTGAGGAGGAGGGAGGAGAAGGCTGCTAAGAAACCATGGAAATGATGGTGTCCTGTACCTCCCTGGGCACAGCAAGGGCTGTCGCTCAGCCTCGGGGGAGCAGAGGCAGCGACCAAAAGGTGATGGAGGGTCTACCCCCACCCATGCTAGGCAGAGCGGGGGTCCTGCCTGGGAGGCAGCTCCCTGAGGCCTGCATGGTGCTCCCTGGGGTCACCCAGCTACTGCTGGCTCCATGTCCAGAGCACCTGGGAGAGCAAGGCTGTCCTAGCTTTGCCAGCAGGAGGGGAGCCTGACTTGTAGGCACACAGAGACAAACCTGCCCAACCAGAACCAGGCCACCTATGAAACCCTGACACCACCTGGTCCCATCAAAGGAACATCTGCTGGATCTGGGACTGGTAGGGAGGTCCCAAGCAGGAGGGAGTGGGTCTTCTCCAGGAGCTTGCAAGCAGAGCAGGCATAGACAGAGGTGAGAGCACAGGTACGATGCACGGACAGCAGGACATGGGATGGTGCTGTGGGGCAGGACAGAGCTGCTGATGCACATGAGGGGCCTAGGAAAGGCTCTCCCTTTCACCTTTCTGCTTTGGCCAGCCTGACCAGCCACTGGGTAGGGAAGAGGAAATGAGGCCCCAGTGCAAGGCAATCCAGCTAAGGAGCCAGCGCTTTGGACAGGGAGCTGTGGCCACATGCGCACCCCCTCTCTGAGTCCTCATGTGGCTGGTGAGCCTGTGTTAGATCCTGGGAAGCTTGGGCCCCTGAAGACAGATGCCAGCAACTGGCTCCTCCCTGCAGGAGCACAGCAGTGCCCTGTGGGACCAGAACCAAGGCCATGTGATGCTGAGGAGGACAGGCAGGCTGTGGGGAAGTGAATGTGAAAGGCTGAAGGGCAAGGACAGTCACACAGACTCACCGCCACCACCAGGAGGCCAGTACTGTCCCAGGGGACACGCACCAGACTGCCAGCACCTACCACACAGCTGGGAGACGAGGCACACAGCTGTACGTGCCTCCTCATGTTTCAGTGTGGCTGAGCTCAGGCATTCCAGAACAGACAGGAAGAGAGCCAGCCGTGCAGCATTAGTTCTGGTCCACAGGTTAGATAGAGAAGCACCATTCTCGAGGGCAGCCACAGAAGCTTCCCTATCTGCATGGGCACATGAGGCTGGGGACACCACTTCTGCCTTGATCGGCAGCCCAAAGAGCCAAGTTCTCCAGTGAGACGCAGAAGCCCATGGTAAGAGTGCAGAAGCAAACCCTGCAGACCCACAGGCCAAAGCCACACTGTAGGCCACAACAAGCATCTGGAGCAAGGCACTGGGCAACCGCAGCGAGGTGGTGCTGATGCTACTCTAGCTGTCTATCCCTACCACTGCAACCTGGCTGAGAGCCTGCCATCTAGCCAGACAGCAGCTTGTCCTCATGTCGCTGGCAACAGGCACACCCCCACACTTCTGAAATGTACTTCATGCAGTGGCCCAGCCACTCCTCACTAGTATCCTAGCTTCATGAGTTGTACTTTTCTAAAAAGAACTATGCCTGGAGGGTGTTCTTTACATAAGGTTTGCTAGTAACAGGAATCAACTATCTCTCCAGTTCAGTTATGAGCCTGGAACACTTGCTCAGCTTCACCAACACTGAAACCCCAATCATGTGTCCCAGCGAGCTCCTGGAGAGGTCACATGGCGATGGTGGGGGGTCCAGGGTCCACGTGTATTCTCCCATCCAGCTTTGTAAGAGACCTGGTTATTGCTCTAGTGGATGAGGACGAGTCATGACAGATCCACACACAGCTGGGGATAAGCATCGTTTCTCCACCCAATGCCATGGGGTGCCTACCTGTGACAAGGGGCGTCTGCGTGGGTGGCTGCTCCAGCAGGACCATGTGCTGCAGAAGGGGGTTGTGCGCTGCCCCGCCATCCCGCTCCAGGGGTGAGGCGCCCAGGTAGGGGGCCAGGTGGGTGCCAGGGAAGAGGGAGATCCGCTGTTGCAGGGCTGGGAGGGCGAGCCTCTCGGCATCCTGCTGGGCTGCAGTGCCCTGGAAAGCACAGTCCAGTTGCTCAGGCTGCTGCCGTACCAACAGCCACCCATGTCACGCCACACAGATCCATGGGGCCACTTACTGCGGAAGGGCCTGTAGCAGGAAGTCCCAAGGTGATGTTAGGCAGGGATGGTGACGTGTAGAGAGGAAGTGGGGCAACAGAGGCTTCTCGAGTCACGAGTCTGTGTGCCAAACTGGTCTGGGGACAGAACACACGGTGGCTGTCACACGGGGTCTGCGATGGCCAGGCAGGCGCACCGCCCACAAGGAGAGGATGTGCCGTGCCGCTGCCTTGGAGGCAGCTGGTGCTAGGTGCAGACACTTTGGTGCACAGACGCACCCCACAGCCCAGCCCACTAAGATCACAGCGCACAACGGTGAGGCCCAGCAGCACGCAGTGAGCCAGCACTGCAGAGCACAGCGCCAGGGTGTACACACTCCCATGCAGCTTGCAGCGTACTCCCCAAAAGCGTCCCTCCACTGTCCGGTCTGCCCTCACTTTTTGTCCAGTTTCCTTTCTTAGCACAATGGTGTCAAGAAAATCTTGGACAATTCATTAAAAATAGTTTTTGTAACTGAGAATATCTTTTCAAAGATGACAGCACCAAAGCAGAGACTAAACAGGAAATGGCTGATGAAAGGAAAAAAATCTGCCTTGCACAAGCAGGCAGTGATGACAGTATTAGAGCAAGGTTAATATAGAGAGAGCTTGCAAGTTAAGGAAAAATTAACAAGAAGAA